CACAGAGTATTTATATGTAGAAGACACATAATGGCAAGAATCACCTTGCGAAGAAAGATAACCAAGATCAACATTCGGTTCGAATTAGGTCCAATGCTCAGGAACGCACAAGCTCTTCAAGCCCTTTACGAGTTTTTCAAACCACAATTGACTACGTACCCAAGATACTCCGGTGGTTCGGCGTAACCGAGAAAATTCCCGGACACGCAAATCATCAAGACATTTTACGACACTAGTCAAGAAACGCTTCCTACCAATTCAACATACCATTCAAATCCTCATGCTTTAAGAAGTATTGATGGACGTAGTTTAACTTTGTATCGTCTTAACAATATATTTAGATTTCATCATCATCTGGGTGATGGTGTTGTGGTTGCCTCAGATATTATTGCAATGGTTTTGATTTTCTTTTTACCGAGATTTAGCAGATTAGAATTCAATACGCTGCAGAAAGCGTCAAATACTTTACGGCCAGGTCAAGAAACACTTACAGTTAAACTCAGGAACATGGGTAAAAGGCTTCGCACTGTTAGACATATTTAGGGAATGTTGGCATTCAGGGACATGGGTTAAACATACAGAGTCAGTTAATAGTGATTCGGGAGTAAATCGCCAGACTAGGTCATCACATACGGATGTAGCTTACTTATCATAAACATCCTATGTAGCAGAACGAGTAAGAATTAAGTATTCCATATTTCAACAAGATTCTGAATATTACTTCTTTCAACCGAGGATATGGGTCAAAGAGTAGAAGCTTTACAGCTGTCCGCCTTATGGGTACCAAATATTTTATATAATGATTGCATATGTACTAAGGGATCACGTGTATTGAGTTTCCTTTTTTTATATATTAGATATTCATTGTTAGTTATTTATACCTATAATTTAATATAGCTATTTCTTTGTTGTCTAATTACTTCATATGCTTCTGGCCTTCTTTATCATTCCACTTCACAACTTCAAATGATTATTGGTGATAGCATGACGTTATGATGTAATCATAACTTAACTTTAATCATTTGCGGAATACATGTTACGGCGCCATTTCCCGTATGCTACATGAGTACCACCTCCTTGAATCACACTCTATTTTATTTGCTGGTAATGGTGTAAGAGACATAGACATATAGGCTTCCCAATTGTCTCCATTAGTGAGAGTGAAACATGCCTTACTAGCATGCTTTGCTCTAAAAGAGGTCACAGCACCGGTAAGAGCATCATAGGTAACGTCTACACTTGGAGTCGGCGTGCAACCTCTTCCATTTAAAAGGTGGAAAGTAGCTCCGGTCTGTTGGTTTTATATTATTTTATTTATTTCATCCTAGCTTATTTATTTGTAAACTAGTATACTTTATTATATTTTATATATATCTTTTTGTTATATATTTTTTAGCTTGTTTTGTTTTTCATTAACATATTTTTCAAATGGAGATTAGGTTATCTACTTGGAACCGTACAACACCTAAGTACCTTTCTACATCCTGCAGTAATTATCCTAAATGTTGTATAAGCTACAACTCATCATGGAGAGAGTGTACTTTTTCACAAGTGGGTTGACTGTGTTCATTTCCTTTACAGGCGTAAAACTCCTTATCTTGGTAGAATATTTCATAAACGGGTTGTCCTGTCGACGACATAGCAAATTCAAGCCTTCCACCTCCCTCATGTCTATAGTTTCACATGCTCTTCTAGCCTGTCTTTCTCTCCACTTATCAACTATTTCAATCAGAGCATCATAAATTGTTTGGGTTTCAGCATCAGTACCACAATTTCCTGCTCCTCTGACCTGGAAAGACATCTTATAAGTATCATCAAGCCAAGTGCTAACCTGATCAAAGCAATTTCTACTGGAATAGCCTTCTTGGTGCGCCCTGTCGGCCAAATTCCATAAAAGATTACTCAAGAAACTGTCCACTGTACCTCCTACAATAGTCTGCCACCAAGCTGAAGCTCTAGGTGAACCTGGTACATATCGACCGTTTTCAATATCTCTCACCATTATTGCTTGCTGTTCGGGATTGGTCCTGTTATCATAGATCAATGTATCCAAATCCTTTTGTTCTGCTTCTTCTGGGGGTACAGACATTACAGCAGCATCAGCATGATTAGGTCTTAGGGGACTATAGCCGGTAGATTGGTCTCTCTTACTATAATGATCGGCACAACAGGCTCTCATAGCTAGCTTCTTGTTCAGAGCTCCCGTTTCTGCATCAGCATCACTTATTACTTTATACAAATCACCTCCTACTGTATAAATTGAGGTATAATTTACTTCCCCATCCTGAGTAATGGGATAACGTTCATCCAAATCGTAAATGATATCATCCAAGGACTCTCAAAACATCGTAGTGATCTCCACCTTTATCATAATCAGCGTTACCAGTAGCATTATAATAATATAACAGCCCCTTAGAACTGCGGTTTTGAAGAAAGTCGTGCTTTGAAGCTCCTTCCACATATGCAGCTGAACATAGCATATAAAGAATGGTATAAAAAATCGAGGTAGATTTGATAAAACGAATACGGGACGATCTTCCAACCATGTTATTATTATCTGATATACCATCAACCACGATATATTCTACAAACTAATATGAGAGCCCTTTAATTAAAAGCTAGTTTGAAGTTTTTTTTTTTGAGAAAAATATGTTACGTTATATATACGTGTTATGTTATCTTTTTGTACAAAATGGTCTTATATAGTCTTTACTGTCCACATGTTCCCCGAAGTCCTCAACTTTAGCGAGCCTTGGCATTCATCTTGGATATGTTGATGCCCATTCCTTTACATAATAATCGTAGTTGATTTCCATTTAGTGCTTAAATAAAGATGTCGGCCAATTTATTATGAGTGCGAATTCCCTTTACCTCTATTTCTTTTTGTTCGTGTCTTTCTTTACCCGCATGATATTGTACTCTTGTGTGTTTGAGGCCAGTGATAGATCCGGGGTTGAGGATGTTTGTTAAGGCAGCGGTATTGTCGGTTTTGATTATATGTTGCAGAAATTAAGACTTGACCTTGGAGAAACAAGAGAAAAAAGGGCATTACAATCGATGCCTCAAAAATATAGTAAAAATGTGGAATATTTAAATACATTCAAAAAAACTTAGTTACGATGATTTCGTAGAGCAAATCATTAGCAATTTTAAGAATCATTTTAAAGTTGATTCACCAATTAAAATCACCTCAGTCAATCAACTACTTGATAAAAACACGTGAGCAAAAAAGATAATGACGTTACTGTTACATGAATAGGATTCATCTTAGGTGGTTCTTACTGTACAATTTTTTTCTCATGTGTATATATTCCAGTGTTTCACTATTCTCGTTCCTTTTACTCTTTATACAGTATTACTTGGCCGCGTTCATGTCTAGCTGTATATGCTCATAGTCTTTATGATTCTCATATTGTCTCTTATCGTAGCTTTGATCCATCATTGTCTCCCTTCAGTCTGTGGAACACGTCTGTGTTTCATTTCTTGGTTGACTCTATATGTTCAGGCCCAATATTTGGATTTCAACAAACAAAAAGTCAACCGTTTTATCATATGAAATCCAACTTTCCGTCTGTCTTATACTCCTTAGTGACCTTTCCAAGCACGCCATTTCAGAAGGTTTTAAGTCCGTCACAAAGTTCTCAAGTTCAAAGGCTTGAGCGGATAAGAATACATTTTATCCTGTACTTATAAACCTTTGTATGATAATATATAAATCATTTACGAATGTAATGAAAAACTTTTACCATAATCACCTCTCAACCTTATCACAAGAGATGATATTGTTCTATCACGACATGTCCGAAAACTTTAGAAACAAAGTTGGTCTTATGCTCAGTTTTGCTTTTGTCCAATATGTTATATACCGCATGGGCGGGAGTGAACTCAGAAGTAGCCCAGTCCCGAGTGCAAGAGTCGATAGAGGAAAGCAAAACGGCGAAACCAGGTGATTGTTTTAACGCTTGTATACCCAGTTTACAAAGCCAGGAAAGATAATAGCTGGGCTGTTGGAGGGAGCTGGTTGTGCAGCAGTTGTGCGTATACAATTTAAGCTCTCATATATATAAAAATGAATAAATAAACAAATACGATGTATATAAAAACAGCTAGATTTGAAATATTAGTAAACTAAATATTAAAATAGGACCAAGATATCTAAGGATCCCAGTTTATTCCAAACATAGTCTCTCTTGGGCAGCTTGTGTCGATTCGATTCCTAAACCTGTGCTCTTGTTAGAGGCAAGTAAAATTCAGAATCTTTATTCAATTCAAGCGTTTCCAACTGCTCAGATAATCCTCTCATATGTATTCATCGGTAGATGGCTTCGCGCCCTACCCTTATTACCATTTCCAGCTATTTGAGCATAAGACCGTGCTGAACTCTTACTAACTGCGTTAGAAGTTGGAACTATTTGTTGAGAAATTCCTGACATAGACGTAGATGACCTGATTATACTCATAACAACCGTAACACAAACAAAATTAAGTCTAAAGCAAAACACGAATTTGAAACAAAAAAAACTTCGAAATGTCAACCACATACCAGGTATGAAGGTGAACTATGATCAATTCAGGGGTATCGCTACTCTAGAACAGTCAGAATATATCGCTAAGGCAATGGAGGTTATAAATTACAAGGCATAAGGAGAGAAAGTATTACAATGAGCACTAATCTCATACTATCCAACGAGGAATCCCAAAATATCGTAAGATCACAATGATGGAATGACAACTAAAGCATACGCACAAGCATTAGGAAAATTCGATTGGATAGCGCCAGCTTCAAGATCGGATACATTATTTACAACCAGTATGTGCAGTGGATACCCTCAAAACCCTGGTGTCAAACGATTGAAACACCGTAAGGCAAGATATATGGCTAACTCAAAAACCCACCAAATAGAATCCAGGAGAAAGGCGCAACATTTAGATGGATACGTAAAGGAGTAATACTACATAAAGACATCAAAGGTCATGTAGACGAAGTTTATGCTGGGATACAGCAAGATCAACCAACAGCTGTGTATGTGAATACTCAGGAGGATCAACAACGTGGACCAGCAAATGTGTGGCCAAAAGCACAGGTGAAGCGGAATATAGGGCAATTAAACATAGTTCAAATACAGCAACTTGGCTCAGAAACGTTATGAAACACCTAATATCATAACTAAAAATGCAAACCACGTCAAATTTTATCACAATATCTAAAGAAAGCGAGCATAATGTATGGAAGTCACAAATCGAAAGATACACGTACAAACAAGGCATTCTGTGAGTTGTTCATAAAAAATCACAAAGAACAATGCCATAGAATTAATGATTAAAAATGATCAACGTGCAGAAAAGAACACCATCTAAATCATCATACATAAGAACTAACAGTGGATGCAGTTGGACTTTGAATCGTTTAATATATTTACATTTCATCATTATCATATTAAAAAGATGTCGTCTAAATCGAAAGTCGACATTCTAAGGTGCGTGCATAACAAGGGCCACTGAACTGACTTCAAGAAGATCACGAGAATAGTCATCACGCGCCTGCATTCTTGAGACTTGCGTCGGGACATAACATCAAAATGAATCAGATCACAAGCACCTAAAGTTTAAACATAAGTGAGAAAAAAAGTTCCAAAAGAGTCGTTCTCATATGGGTATCCTCTCTAAACTGTCGCTTCATCAATGATATTTATTCAAATGGAAAGCGTTATATGACGCAAAACGGAGAATTATCTGGCCATTTCACGGAAGGCTTTGTGAATTACACAATCACCCAAATACACTTGATTTTCTTTCAAGATCTTTCGAATTTAAAAAGCTTTTCAAAACAAGTCTTTAATTTAAAACACGACCAATCGTGAGAATATGTTATCTATTAAAATTATCCACTTGTTGCTGAAATTTTATTATTCATCACAAATTTACAAGCTGTACACACTATTGGTGATGGTTTAAATCAGAAACCACAAGTTCTATGATGGGGGGTGGTCTAGATAATAACGGCCTGATATCCGTTTTTCAAAGACCTAGGAATCCACAGCCATTTAGAATAAATGCTTCTGTTGTATTTATAGGTCTTCCTTTGGCTTCCATAGTACTTCCACTCTGCTCTACGTTGTCCAGGGAAATATCCATGGTAGTAAAAGACAAATTGAGACACTGGTTGCATGAGGATCAACACCCTCAAAAATTAAATTCAAGCAAATGCTCCAAGTAGTTAAAGGTTTGGATTGTAATCGACCAGAGACTTGCCGGTAGAAGATGACGCAACTTGTGCGGCAGGATCACTAGGCGGTCACACAGAGCCTTCATCGTATATGACTATCAATAATAAGCTCTGTTAAAGGAAGAGATAATATCTAGCCTATTCGCTTAGAGGAGGATTGAAAATTGAAAAGAACAAGACATTCCCAATGAAGATGCCGTTGATGTATTTGATAACAAATAGTATGACTTGAAAGTACCTTCGATTTTTGAGGTTTGTAGCATCAACAAGACAATTTCATCTTTGCCTGGTCTCAAGGAGGCCAGCATAGGTTTGAGGACGTGCCAATGAGCTCTCATTTGTTGACCTCAACAACATGGAACAGTGCATTCCATAAGCTGCCCCTCAGAGTTGTTTCCATCCGAGACGAAAACTACTTTATTCGCTCGATGGCAGGGTTCTCGAAATGTATGCTCCCACTTCGACAAGTGCCTTTTGAATGAATCAGATGAAAATAAAAGAAACTCGATTGAATGAGAAAAATAAATAATGTATACATGTATAAGTCGAGAAACCTCCAAAATTCTCTTACTGATGTGCTGCTTAAGATATGACGCATAATGTAGACTTAATTTATTATTACAGATCCCAGATAAAGCTATCTTTCAGGTCCTATCACTTGAATGTGCTGCAATCATGTAAAAATAACATTTGACAACGGAAACCTTAATATCGCATATATATATACATATATGTATATCCACCTTTTATTCCGACTTTCAAGATGCAAATGTAAATGCGATAGAGATAATTCGTTGACGTACATAATTGCATCTTTGTGTGAAATTAATCCCTGAGTTACTTACCCTGTCTACATATCGGCGATCGGTATTGGAACAATCGACTAAGGTTTTGTATCACAGAGAGATAGAATACACTAAAAGACAGGCACGTTCGATGCACGATCTTCTTTTTACATAATTCTTTTAACAATGGTTCTTGGCAATGCTGCAGAGAAGACTATGAAATACGTGGAAAAGCGCTTGAAGCGGCGAATTTCCCAAATGTTGATAAAATTACACACCTAGCGACAAGGAAGAGTTATTTTTATACAACGCTCGTGCCTCGCATGACCTCGCAACGATCCTCTACTGGCTCGTTACCGATCTAAGCGACGGACTCATTGATTCAGTTTGATAAGATACGATCTTTATCACAAACCACCAACACCGATGCGTCTTCAAGCTTTGACCACCCTCACTACTGCTGCTTTCGCTGCTGCAGCACCATTCAAGGCTCGCCAAGAAGAACCAAAGGTACCAAACGTTACCGTTATCGCTACTGGTGGTACTATTGCTGGTGTCGGCTCAACTTTCGACACCACAGGTTACAAAGCTGGTGTTAGACCAATTGTAGACATACTCGGCGATATTCCAGATATCGAGACACGCGCCAATGTATCTACAATCCAATACAGCAACTTGGCTTCAGAAGCAATCGTTTCTACTGACATGGTTGCTATTGCTAAGCTCGTAAATAACCTTCTTTGCGCACCAGACGCAGATCAAGATGGTGTTGTTATTACTCAAGGTACAGACACCACTGAGGAAACCGCATTCCTCCTCGATTCTCTCATCAACTGCAACAAGCCAGTCGTTGTTACTGCTAGTAAGTAGACTATCGACTGTTTGAGGTTATTCTTATCCGTTTCAGGTATGCGTCCAGGTACTGCTGTTAGCCCAGACGGCCCAGGTAACCTCCTCGACGCCATCACACTCGCTGGTTCCGAAACCGCAAAGGACAGAGGCGCTATGGTTGTTTTGAATGACAAGATTCAATCGGCCTTCTACACTAGCAAGATGCAAGCGTAAGTACATTCTCTGTTTGTTTAGACAAAAAAACTAATTTGCATAGAAACAACATGAACGCTTTCTCAGAAGAGAACGCAGAAATCGGTGGTTTCCTTAACTATGAGCCATACTTCTATTACACCGCTTCACAGCCATTCTTTAAGAAAACTTTCAACCTTGATGAAACACTCAAGAAGAACGATACTGCTCTTCCAAAGGTCGATGTCATCTATGGCTCACAAGACTTTGACACCAACCTTTTGATTGCTGCAGTAGCTGCTTCAGACGCCAAGGGTATTGTAATCCAAGGTGTTGGTGAGGGTAGCATTCCAACTTTCGCTGAAGACACTATCAACTCAATTGTCGAACAAGGTATCCCAGTTGTCGTTAGTGCTAAGTAAGTACTGAACTACTTTATCAAAATTGTCAAATTAACACCCGTTAGGCCAGTTTACGGTGCAGCAGCTCCAAAGGAAGATGCCTCAGAAGCATCATACATCAAATCTGGCTTCGTAAAGGCTGCCCAAGCTAAGATCTATTTAGAGCTCGCATTGGCCAACGACTACTCAATGGACGACATCAGAACGCTCTTTGAAGGTGACTTGCGTTCATCAATCTTCCACCAATAAATTATAGACAAATAGATGGAATTTGTACATATTTCTTTTTATATGGATATTAACTCCTTGATTGATAACCGTGATTATGAGCTTAGTGAGCGATACGGAGTAAGTAAGGAAATATAAGGAGATAAAGCTAAATAGCTATAGTTATCATTTACAATTACTAAGATTAGCATTCATACGCCATGTATCTCCATCTACACCACTTAAATTAGCGAAATCATCGACAAATCCATACTTGAACGTAGCAGGATTGACAGATGTAGAGAGATGGCCAGAGATGGAGCATATTCCAGCGTCACCAACGTTAAATAATGCTTACACACTCACTCAAGCTTCAAAATCATCTGATCTCATCAAACCTGACGACGTACCGGCAACGCGAGGATCCAGTTTACAATATACCCAGACTATCGTTGGACCTGGTCGTTCTTTAGCTTTGAGTATGCGTACAAACGCTAGATTATCGCAGGATGTCGCTGGTAGGCGCCGTGCTCCAGTTGAGCAACGTCAACGATATTTGAAACCTGGAAAAAGCGATGTAGATTCCAGTCATGATGAGCCACCACCTGTTATCGTACATGGTGAGGATAATGAGGAGTCTGACACCGACAATATCCAAACAATACAATCGGATGAGGATGAGGACGATTACGTAGTTGATTATGATTCTCAATTAGTTAGAAATGGTACTTCACCATCATCCGCTTCATACAATGTCACATCGCAAGTACCGAATAACAATTCATTGTTGACCAACGTCAATTCACAAACACTTTCAAGTGCAGATATACCATTGCAAACTAGAAATACCCATACTTACTTAGAGACCAGGCCTAGAGGAACTAGTACCTCTACAGCTGATGCAGATGATGAGGATGACTTCAGGCAACAACAAATTCCACGTATTGCATCCAAAATACCAGATGAACAGACAAGTATTGGCAAATTCAGCAAGACGACCACAAATAGTCCGCCAATTTCAGTTGCACAACCACCACATAGTCCTCTAGCATTGGCAGTCCACAACAATACGTCAAGGTTGCTAGATAGCAAAAGACCACTGACAATGACCAGAGGTAACAGTCTAAGTGCTGTTGAGGAGTTGAATCAGGAGACACAACAGCCCCAAGTGCAGTCAAATGACTCGCGGCAAAGTCCCCAGAGTGCGGTTGCCAATAGATTTAGATCTGCCTCAGTTTCTACTACCACTACCACTGCTCATGCTATCGACGATCGTAAAGTCGATCCGCGGATATTGCAAAAGATAAACAAAGAAAAGGATAAAGATAATGCCAAAGCCGATTTACTGAAGAAGCGACCACTACATCCACCTCAGCAAAGTACAGTCTCTGCTCTAAGTAAGCTCATACAAACCAAAACAGAAGCCCAGAAAGCTTCTCAGAACGGAAGAGAAGTTAGCTATAACCCATTCAGAAGGCTTTATGCTGCTATGGACGCCTCTGAAATTGGCTCCTCTGTGAAGTTGAGCTTGTACTTCCCCCACTCAAACAAACCAAGAGAACCAATCCGTGTACAAATACGCAAAGATGCCACTTGTGAAGAGGTGATTGGTTTTGGATTGTACTTATTTGTTGAACAACGAGAGAAAGATAGCAAGGAAATGCTAGGAAATAACACCGATGATATTAAATGGACGCCCGAAGGTTGGAATTTGAGAATAGTTGAGGAAGATGGTGAAGTCGACGAGGATTTCCCTGGTGAGTATTCACATTGATAAGTGATGGCATTCTAACTGTTTGTAAGCATTGGATAGGCTGAGACCGGTATCAAAGTTCTCATTTGACGAGCTTGCAATATGTGAAGCTACAGCAGCTCAAGGTAGGTGGTATTTTTGATACAGTTAATTTACTAATAAAATTAAGTTCGTTCCAATCAACTGGCGGTTTCTAAAGTGCAGCGCCGTCAATCGCGGATAACAGAGGATCCATTCACTGGCACGGTCAATAGCAATAACAGTAATGGTTCTACTGGCAATCCATTACTTGCTCCAAGTAATCCAACCAACGCATCCTCATCTTCCTTAGAAGGAGCCATAGAGCAAAGCCATCAGATCATAACACCAACTTTATCAAGAAGCGCAACTGCTGGTGTCAGTAGCTCACTTGCTCCAAGTGTTTACTTGAGAATAGAAGTACATCCAACTGCCGATGTCAGCTACACGACCACTGTTAGTGTACCGAGCGATATGTACTTACAGGACGTATTGGAAATGGTAGGTTATACAGCTACTGCATTTAGTAAGTCTGATTAACATATTCACAGGTTTGTACGAAGAAGAACCTTAAGAATCCGAATAGCTGGGCGTTACTCGTCAAGTCTGCTGCTCTAGTTATACCACTTGACAGAACAGTTGCTTCATTAGAAGGTGTATCATCGTTGATGCTCGTCAAGCGCTCTCATATTGACGCTGATCTGCGTTTGGATAGGCGTATGGAGATGGCTAGAAGTACTAATCCAAATGCATCAATCTTCAAGCGCTTGAGTAAGGATCCAAGAAGTACGATAGGTTCACGTCAAGGCACAAATTCAGCGCTTGATTATACATCAGCTTATAGGAAGTACACAGTCAACAGACGTATATTGGGATTGGTCGGTAAACATGAGCGTGTCTTGGCTATCGATGGTGATTGGATACACTTGATGCCTCCTGAACAGAAAGCTGCACTTATTGATTCAAGCACAAAAACACGTTCTTACCATGCAGCCAACATTAAAACGTGCAAACAGATTAAGAAAGGTGAACAACATTTCAGAATTGATTTCTGGCGTGGAGGTAATCACGTTAAGCGATACGAATTTGAAGCAGAGAGTGTGAGAGAAGCTAATGAAATAATCACCCAAGTAAAAAACTTGATGGCTTTGTTCAAAAGTGAACGCAATCAACTCGCTCGGATAGCTTCGAAGAACGAATATTATTAGAACACTCTCGAGTGAAAGTCTAATTCATGATATTTGTACAAGATGCATAGTTAAATTAAAGATTAGCTTGTGTACCACCTGATAAAAAGGAATGGAGAAGGAATGTAAACTTCTAATCGTTCTAATAGAACTTTTTAGTCCATGTCCATGCTCATTTTCTGACCAGATCCACCTGCAGAAGCAAGATTTGAACGTTTGGCAGGTACTTTGACCTTTTGTTTGACTGTTTGAGCGGATGCAGCAGCTTTTGCGCTTGCTTTGATACCAGGGAGAAGGTTGATTGATTTTGAGACCTCCTTCTTGTCTGCCAATTTGCGTCTTTGTGAGTTTGCGGCCATTCTGTTCTTCCAGAAAGCGACTTCACGACGTTTACGAATTTCACCAACTCTGTTCATAGCCTTGAGTGTAGCTGCTACTAATTGTCTGTTGTATCTGACTGGTACGTGTCTACGCTTCTCAAATTCGAGAGTTGAATCCTTCAAACTTGTGAGTTTAATTAGGATTTACGAGAATAAAACTCACGATTGTCATTTCTTTACCTGCAGCCTTACGGAAAGCCTTAGTCCATCTGAGCTTACGTGGGTTACGCTTCATCTTGAAGTTCTTATGGCACCTATTTTCACAGTCAGTTTAAGCAAATAATCGATGAATTTGACATACTTTGATGAACAGAATCTGAAGTATTTACTGTCATTGCGCACGAATGCGGTTCCTACTCTCATTTAGCTGCGCTGGTCTGAATTCTTCCTACTCACCATGACCTGGGTATACGTTTCCAGAACAGAAGTAACAGTGCTCAATACGCTTATGGTCGTTAGATCGTCGGTTGGCATTTCACTCTCCTATACTCACCATCCTGGCGGCACTTGATAAGAGAAGATTGAGGCCTCATCAGCAAATTTCTTATAAAAAATAAACTAGAGGCTGTGAGCTGTGGTTAATTTATTGGTACTTTTTGGATGATTCCGCGTCTCCTGGTGGTAGTTTCAGCAGCATTGGGCCAGATTTGAACTGATTTTTTATTCTGAGCCGTCCCGTCTCCCTCTAAGCTTTCTTTCACTCTTTCAAGAAGCCGATAGGATAGCGGAAATCCCGAAATCCTAAAGTTCATGTTGAGGTCCCAGGTTCGAGTCCTGGTAGATGCACACGCATCTGTAGCTCAGCGGTAGTAGCGCAACACTAGTACTGGGCGGCTTCTTTTTGCCTTTTTGCGTGGCTTATTTTCATTTATATGTTTACTTTTTTAAACCCATCAACAAAACATCTAGCCTTGTATTTTGGCCCCATTCAAGTACCTATTAGTGGATATTTTGCATACATTCACATGCCTACTCGTCAAGCTATGCTTAGATTAATCTCGAGAAGCTTCCTTCCAGGACAATAATAGTCAAACACGTCATGTAAAATAAATAATAATAAAGACACAATTTGAGCAACTACAATTCATCTCTCCAGACCGCATGTGTGTCGTGGTAATTTGCACCACGCAATCTGATACTACCGTCGTCGAGGTATTCCGTCACGATAGGACTTGCTGCAGGTCTAAATTTATATTCATGGGAGTATCTTTAACGTGTTAGCGAATATGTTTCTATAATTGTGACACTTGCCTATCTGAATGCGTAACTCTTGGTTTGGTATTTGCCAACTTGGTCTGAAGAACTTGGAAGAGAATGAAACCAATAATTAATGCCAAAATACCAGTTATTACATTTTGGCGTATCTTGGCGTATCGCACTCTCTTTGCGTGGGTGTTGTAATTGATCGACATATTAAGTTGTGATGGTAATCGCTTAACCTTAACTCAAGGTAGAAGGTGATGTTTTATTATGTAAACCAAATAAGGAAGGTATCAGATCAGAAACAAAGAGAACGCTCATATAATCAGAACAGTATGATTCATCGTGATTTACAGTTGACGATAGTCAAAACGTATCAAGACTTATTTGCCACAAGTGCAAGTTTGGCCACCTTACTTCTATCAGCGAGGTTACTACAACATCGACTATCACTTACATTGGCAGCTGTCACCACCTGATAGACTATTAGTTCTTATGTCTCCTATATTTATGTAAAACTTACAGCTGCAGCTACATCCGTTGTTGACGAGTACTTGAGTGTATTGCATTCCTATTACTCATTAGTAAGACAAACTTATTTCATCACACTACACACTTTTAGTTCTTCAAAGTTCAATTGAGAAAAGGAAAAAGTCGATTGGGTAGAAATTTAAATCGCTGTCAAGCTCCCCTGCATCTGGCTTACCTCATCATCACATGGGATCAGCAGATGATCTTCTTCCAAGAGATATATAAAAAGATTCGCGGCAAGTTTGCCGTTGTTTATAAAACATCCAGATTCTTATCTGAATACTTAATTAATTATCACTATTCGGAAGATTTCGAAGTGGCACGAATTATCATAATTTGAAAACTTCTTTTGAATAAATATAAATGCATTGTGTATATTACTCAACTGTCTGTACCTTGGCTGTATCCCAATATCCTGCTAGTGATTCGCCTAAGAACTCCTTCGCTTCCCTGTCGCTCGGCATCTCCCTCGTAATAAATCGGTTAAAAAGTCTATCTCGAGTTGGTCCCTCCCATATAAGATGACAGTAATTATCAGCCAGTGACTGTGGTTGCTCTTCTCCTTCATCATTAGTGGGCCCCCTAGTCTCCTCCGTCCAATCAATGCGGACAGTCATTAGTCTCTTGTAAGCTTTCATACTCTTTTCTGATCCTTCGACATATATAAAATGGAATTTCTCATTTTGTAACCAACATCCAGAAAGACCATGTTGTTGTGCATTCTTACGTACTTTGAATTGATGTGACGGATTTGACATATTCTTAATTTTGAAAACTGCACCACGCGTACCTCTAGCCTTCTCATTCTCGAGACGTTTATTTTCATCCTTTTCGTGTCTTTGCTCTTTCGTCAATTTATTCTCCTCATTCATACGTTCGTGGTCTATTTTACGCTTTTGCATATCCCTGCGAACCTTTGCTTCTACCTTAGTTGGATCCTGGATTGCATCACTTGCTAAAACACGCATTAAGTTTGACAGTTTGACTAGAGCAATGTTAAACAAATTGGATATGAAATAGAATACATACCTTTTGGTGGATCTGGAGGGAGTAATCCCATCTTAATTCTATCCCTTTTATCACTCAACTCTGCTTGTCTCCTCTGTTTACGCATCTTTTTCATTTCCTTCTTTGTCAATTTCAAGTCGAGCTTAGCAAATCTTGATCTATCGTGAGGCGCTGGTATAGGGATAGGATGTTGAACGTAAAGTGTAATCAGAGAATCTTCAGTTTCTATCTTTGCATCCTTGTTGAGATCCTCAGGATATGCTTCTTGGTTATGAAGTAGAGGTTGATCCCACCATTCGACAGCAGGTGGTGGTGGTCTCTATGGAAATTGTTAGAGTTGTTCAATTGTTCCTAAGATCAACCCCACCTTGACAGCACGCTCTGATGCGGCTTCAGATTCACCTGTGATACCAGCTTTTCTGGCATTTTCATCTATTTTACGTTTAAGTTCTTCTAATTTAGCCTTTCGTGGTCATGAGGAAGAGAAAGAGATTGACAGTCGGTACCTACTTCATTGCGTACCGCATCAGCTTGAGCTATATATTTTCCTGGTCGTGAGAAGACAAATTGACGTTTACGTCTGTTAGTATCTTCTCCTTGATCTTGAAGGTAAGGGTTTGAAGAAACGGCTGGAGTTGCCCCTTTGTTAGCCTATGGATGACTTCGATTAGGAATAGATCACATCATAGAGTGCAAAAAATACCTTTATGGACGTAAACTTAGGAGCGTTGGCAGATACATTCGCAGGGGATGCACTACCACTTAAAGTGGCTAGAAGTGGATGGCTAGCTGTACCTAAACCACTTCCAGGTGCTTTAATATCTGTCCTTTTAGCGTCTGCGTTTGGATTTATACGCGATTGAGTACGCTCTTTCATCTCTTGCGTTTTACGCGCTATTTCAGCCCTACTTTTAGCAATGGCTGAATTGAGATCAGTCTTAGGTGCAGCTTCCTGATTTGATTGATTTGATTGATTAGGCTGTGACCAACTAGCCGTAAGTTTAGCGACTCTAGCTTTAGCTGCTGCTAATTTATCCTGCACTGATTGAGCTTGCGTAGGTTGTGCATCCTGAAGAGTAAGAGATGAGATAATAAATAAAGAGATAAGCTTACTGGAGTGCTATAATGTAAATGATTAGATAATGTTATATAATTTGATAATATACACACCTCCGTAGTCGTTTTGACGCTGTATCTTCGCTCGTATCTAGAGATCTCTTGTTTCCAGACATCGAAGTTGAAGTTTAAGAAATGACAGCGCCCATACACGGGAATTATAAAAGTGCAAGATGCTTTTAATTACGATACGCTAGTGTTAACCTTATATCCTAGATTACTACTCTAAAAGACAGAATACTGTGAATGGTACAGACGCGAGAATAGACGCACTGGGAAGTGACTTTTGCGATAAATTACGCGATAAGGATGTATGTTATGTTACATATTACAATAAAATCTCATTGTTTCCTAGATACTGGATGTTGGTTGCAATGAAGGAAAAATAACAATCGAAATTGGTGCGTTATAACACAATTCACTACCAAATTTAACTTTTTACAGCTAGAAAGTTCTCTCCAAAGTTCATCTTAGGTGTCGATTTAGATCCTGCACTCATACATCGCGCTACAAAGGAACTTAAGGTTGCATGGTCGACGAGCAAACCAATAGAGGGTAATGAGAAGGGCAAGAGAAAGCGTAAAGATGATACCGAGGTAGCTGAAACAGGCTACTTTCCTTTATCGATGTGGGTATGATATAAGGCATATCATTTCGTTATCTAAGACAACACAGGCCGAGTATGTTTGGATTCCTCCCTTTCCCAGAGTCTTCGACGTCATTTCCATGCAACATCGAGTTCAAGAAGCTAGACGTAATGCAAGGAAAGCTGGAAACCAATGGGTATGACGTTATTCTAGCGTTGTCAATAACAAAGTGGATACATTTGAATGGCGGTGACGATGGTTTAATTCTATTTTTTAAGAAGCTCTACGAAGCTCTAAAGGAAGGTGGTGAGCTCGTATTAGAAGCTCAACCTGTCAAATCGTATCAGAATGCAGTCAGCGATATGCATGTACGTAGTTGTTCTTTATATGGTTTCACTAACTTTGCTTCTAGCAATTAAAACCGACATTTGAGAAATTGACGATTGATCCTAGTCAATTTGAAGCACTTCTAGTGAATGAAATTGGATTCAGAGAGGTGCGACATTGCGTGGGTATGCGAGGTAAGTGAATGGCTAATCTTTGTCTTTACAGCTCACAATTTTGTCTAGATAGAGGAGTCTCAGTGTACACCAAGTAGTATGATAATTTTCATGCAAATTGGCAACTACCGCTAAGCTAATGAACATAATACAACTTAATAAGATTATAAATAGACCATAATATCAACATACCAGCCTTCTCTTCTGGGATATACGGTACGACGTCAGCAGCAGCAAAATTAGAGGAGCAGAAGGGAATGATAAATATAAAGTCTAATAGAACACTCATAATAAAGTAGAATTACTGTAAATATCTAAATTTTTTTTCTACAATATTGACCTTCCAATCAAATTTATACGACGGCTTCTTCAACGACTACAAAGAGCCTCAAGAAAAATGTCAGCTGCTCGTCCAACCGTCAACGTACACGGTGGTGAAGCCTCATCATCATCCGTACCACTCCCAGCTGTTTTGACCGCACCAATCCGTTTGGATGTTGTCGCTGCTGTTCACAAGTCAATTGCTAAGAACAAGCGTCAACCATACGCTGTCAGCCCACAAGCAGGTGAACAAACCTCAGCTGAATCATGGGGTACTGGTCGTGCCGTTGCACGTATTCCACGTGTTGGTGGTGGTGGTACTCACCGTTCTGGACAAGTGAGTGAAATTTTTAGACTTTTATAGACCCATTTCTAACAAACTTAATACAGGCTGCCTTCGGTAACATGTGCCGTGGTGGACGTATGTTCGCTCCAACCCGTGTCTGGAGAAAGTGGCACGTCAAGGTCAACCAAAACCAACGCCGTTTCGCTGTCGTCTCAGCATTGGCTGGTTCATCCCTCCCATCATTGGTCCTTGCACGTGGTCACAGAGTTGAGCAGCTCGAGGAAGTTCCATTGGTTGTTCCATCATCAACTGAGTCTATCCAAAAGACTAAGCAAGCTATTGACTTGTTGAAGTCTGTAGACGCATACGATGATGTCGTCAAGGTATCAAACTCACGTGGTAGACGCGCAGGTAAGGGTAAATACCGTAACCGTCGTTACCGTCAACGTAGAGGTCCATTGGTTGTCTACGATGAGGACAAGGGTATCACCAAGGCTTTCCGTAACTTGCCAGGTGTTGAATTATGTAACGTTCGTCGTCTCAATCTCCTTCAATTAGCACCAGGTGGTCACATTGGTAGATTCATCGTCTGGACTGAAGGTGCCTTCAAGTTACTCGATGAAATCTTCGGTACCTTCGACAAGCCATCCGCTCAAAAGCTCGGCTACACTCTCCCACGCGCTAAGATTGCTAACGCTGATATCACCCGTGTCATCAACTCAGATGAAATTCAATCAGTTGTTAAGCCAAAGGGTCCAAAGCAAACTAGACGTCCATGGACACAAAAGAAGAACCCACTCCGTAACAAGGGTGTTCTTTACAGACTTAACCCATACGCTCAATCATTGCGTCGTCAAGAAATCCTCAAGTCAGAGAAGAACAGAAAGTCAACCGTTAAGAAGTCTGCTCCATCTGGCCAAGCTTCAAAGGAATTCCTTGAGAACCTCTTGGCTCCATAAGTTAGTCGCTTACTTACTCATTGATGTATTATCGTTCATACATTTGATGTGTTTTTTTTAAAAATAGAAAGTTATTAGATCACAAAATTTTACAAAGATAATCTGTGGTTGTTGTGAAAGTTTAAAGTGTTCAGTTGTTATTTAATAAAAAGGGATTGATGTGATGATCCAGATGCAAAATAATGATTGAATGCTAATATTGTTTGTTTGAGTTGGGTATGATTGTTTTGGCTTCAAATGAAAGTATTTTTAAATAAAAGTTAAATGTTTAAAGAACGTGTGTCTATAGTTGATTTCTTGGTTTATCTATTGACTCGTTTGATACTGGTGGGGGTGGCGCCAATTTAGCAGATTGGTTCACCTTTGATGGACTCAATGACATTGAAGGTGAACGTGATGTTATTGCAAATGATGATGTACGCGATCTACGTGGTGTGATCTCTAATGTATCTGGTTCATCGTCTTCACTACTAGATGACTCTTCAACTTCATCATAAGTTTTGATAACTTGATGTGATTGTTGCGATGTATCTTTTTGCAACTTAAAAGTCGCAAGTGAGGCTGTATCTGTCATTGATTCATTTCCACCAATACTTGATGATTGTGGTGTTGAATCTGAAGTTGATTGTACATTCGAAATATTGGGTGTTGGCGTCATGTCCACATGCTTCCAACCATCTCCTTTATTCGTCCAATAATGTGTGGGTTGACTTAATTCACTTGGATCATCGCTATCATCATCTGATTGATCATCTATTGCTATTATTGATGAACGTAAATTAGAAGACTGTGAATGTGATAATGTACCACCATTATCGTCATCTAATTCATCGTCACTACTATCAGAATGACCAGATAATTGAACATCTATATCCACATCATCATCATATGGTGGCTGGACTGGTGGTGCTGCTAATGCTGCAGGTCTATGGACTTGATTTGATGATGGTGATAATGAGGATGCAGAAACTTTCCTGAACTCTCTTTGTTCAGGTGAATCACTAGCACCCAATCTTGAATTTGTGGATGAAACTGAGGATTTTCGATTACCCAACGTTAGTCCTTTCAAAAATCCTCGAATGCTACCTTTCTTGGCACTAGCTGGTGATGCTGCTGAACTACGACTGACAGTGGACGTGTCATGTTCATAATCAGTACTACTTAGAGTGCATGTGTCAGAGTTCCCTCTAAGCATGGGTACTGGTGGTACGGGACTTGGTTTCCTTTGAACGCTCTGTTGTGGTGAAAATGTCGGTGAGCTAACTAGTTCATTTGACATTGACATATTCGGTGATTGGAGAACACTAGATGATGACAAATAATGTATTGATTGTCTGCGAGATGATGGATCTGATGGGTTTTGCTGACTTCTGGATGATTGTGATGACGTTGAGGCTGCTCTTGCAAGTCTAGGTTGAGGTGCAACTATAACTGGAACATTATTGCTAGCTTCCTCTACTCTGTTATTAGGAGGATTAGTTGATAAAAATGAGAATCTTCGACTTTGTGATGGTTGATTTTGTAGTGTAGGATCTTTATATAATTGATGTATTGCAGATGTAGGTGCGTATGGATTGTTATCATCGGATGTAGGGTCTAAATCTGACTGCGAATGATAATTATAACTGGATGCGATTGAATCTCTACGTGGTTTACCCGTTGCACCAGTCGCAGCGTTAAACGCATTAGCGATGTGCCTCCAACCGCGTTTGAGACGACCTTTGAAATTTAATGCGGAAGCAACCTCTTCATTAGTAACTTGGACTGCTGGTGAGGCATGAACATCGGTATGCTTCAACCATTCATTAGGTTCGTGAATACCACGAAGAATCCATGGGTGTGTCTAAATAGAGAGTCAAAAAAGTATATAATTAAAAGATTCTAACACACCTTAACCTGAGCTAGAGTAATACGTTTGGTTGGGTCTTTCTCAAAAAGTTTATCGAGTAAATCACGAAGCTGAGCTCCCTCCTCGGTTTCGTATATAGGTAATCTATCTGATCCAGCATAAGGAGGATAAATCACGTCTTGAGTTGGGATGACGTTAAACAATGCATACTCATTTTCAGCAGTGAAAGGAACGTTGCCAAAGAGTAAACAATATAAAGTAACGCCTAAAGCCCAGACGTCTATCGCATTTGTAATTGGTGGTCGTGGTGTATTTCTTGACGAACGCTGGAAACATAACTCTGGTGCGAAAAAAGCGGGACTTCCGGCAGTTTTAGCGAGATCTTGATCAGAAAAAACAGGCTCGGACTCTAAGCTAGATTGAGGGCTATCCAATTGAGTTTCAGATTTATTCTCAATAGTTGACATAGTAAATAAAGGTGACTGTTCAGGACTTTGTGCCCGCAAAGCGTAACTGAAATGACTAACACCAAAATCACTGATTTTAACTCTATGATCAGCAGTCCATAATAAATTCGCTGGTTTTATATCCCTGTGGATAATACCCTGATAGTGCAGGTATTCAAGGCCAAGGATAACATCAGTGAGAGTGGATCTGGCGATATTGATCGTCATTGTTGGGTAATAAATTCTATCTCCGAGATCATTGAAAGACTCCTGCTTCCATTGTACTTCGCCACCGTCCATCAATTCCAATATCATGTAGATTGTCTTTGATGCACCATCATCGATAATCTCCTTTAGCCTGACGACGTTATCGTGCCTTATCTTTTTCAATATCGCGATCTCTTTACAGATCTTCTCGTCTGTTGGTTTTTTATTCAGATTGTTGAAACTTGAGTCTGCAGTAGATGGACGAGATTTCGAGCCGAGTAAACGTTTCTTTGGAGATCTATCGACAATTTTAACAGCCTGTGTGGTATAGATTAGAAATTATATAGGTAAAAGGTATTTTACCCACAAATCTTTCATTAGTCTCTGTATCAATAGCTTCCCTTACACGGCCGTGTTGGCCTTTACCGAGCTCTGAGAGTAGTAGATATTGATTAACTAGTAATCTACCGTACTGATCTCTCGTTTTGACTACCTCAGACGTGAGTATTGTCTGATCGGTCATCTTGATCTTTCTAGATGAGGGTGACGTTAAAAGAAGAAATTACAGTAATATATAGATATATTTAAATTTTAATACTTTTATTAATGAGACAACGATTCTTACTATTCCCTTTATTAAATTCTATTAATTCATTTAGTTCCGTCTGTAGTGACGTATATGTTGTACAGGTTTATTCCTCAGGATCACTAAATTCAACGAGCTGTTCTTCTTGGTTGTCTTGGTCATTTTGCTTTTCAAACTTACGAAGATCAATGCCTTCATCACCTTTATTCATCAATGTGGCGTCTGAATCAGCCAGTGTTCTGTCCTTTTCAAACAATTGACGACCTTTTTTATTACTTAGTGCAATATTGTAGTATATAGTACACACTCACCTGATTTTCTAGTGTTCCACTTTCGCAACTCTTCGCGCTCCTTGTTTGCTAACTTCGACAGCTCAGCTTCCTCCTTTCTAGCAATCTCTGCATTTCTTTCTGCAATGTACTGACTCCTCCACTCCAGGAAATTCTCCCTTGTGATTTGCGTACCACGTGTTCTCTCTAATTCTTTCTATTGAAGTCGTTATGTCAGCGTGAGTGAAAAATTGCACATCTACGCACCTCAATTTCAGCTTGTTTCCTGTCAGATTCTGCTTGTTCCTTCATTTGTTCTCTATCTTGAACCAATTGGGAAATGCCATCCTTCAAAGCACTGGCTAGGGAGAATACTAATGGCATACCCAGACTTTCTTGACCCTGTATTACGCTATCAGGTGGACTCTTTAGTATAATAAATTACTAACGATCTCATTAAGCTGCTCTACTAATCCATCCTTCTCTTTATCGTCCAAGGTACCTTCTAAGACTTCAATCTCAAAATCAGGTAGTTCATTCGGGTATTGCTCTGTGTATGTTATCCTCAAATCTGTTTTGACTGTATAGCGTTGTCAATATAGCTCAAATTTCTGCCAATGGCCTACGTGGTTCACCAATCTCTTCGTCTGGAATCGTCGTAATCTTGAGTTCCCTGTCGGATATCCCTAGTTTCTGTATAAATGTGGTATCCTATATTATAGATTAAAAACTCACGCTCTAACTCCTCTGGATAGATGGATTCCAATACCTGCAAGAGAGAAGACGGTGAGGATTGATAGGTTATTATAGCTATAAACTACCTCGTATTCTTCTGTTATTATCTCCTCTAATTCAGCTTCATACTGTCAGATAAATAGATAAATAGCTATAGAACTCACACATCAACCTTGATAGTAGAGTTTATAGAGATATTGTGATAAATATTTTTATTCGTTTATACAAGAATTCATTTTAAATCTTGGTTGAGCATCTAAAGCTCTGGACCAGGTGGAATTGGCTCACACTCTATCACAGTTTCTGACGGATCTTGAGGGAGTACACAGAAGAAGTTGAGCGACTGTATGGTGTATGTTATTAGCTGTATATTCCAAACTCTACGCTTCTCTCACATTCAACCGTTCAAACATTTTCCGGCTATCTAATCCAAGTTGAATGCAATCCTTGGTTGATGAGTTATCAGACTGTCTACATAATTCTACTCTATCAGCTTCAGTCTTCCCATCGAAAAAGTACTTTGAATGTGGATTTTGCTACACAAGTGGAGTTATCAGTTCCTGGTATCAATAGTTATACAATACACTCACCCTAATGAAATCCTTTAAACTCTCTTGGTCTGATTTTTTGCTTTCTTTCCCGAACATTTTGGTGGTATGATGTAACCTTACTTTTAGTCGATGATGTGAATATATATTATATAGAAGCTTTATTACTTACCTAGACAGGGAAGCGCCGCCGGGTAAGAAACCTAAGGTTGTTTACAAAAGGAAAGGGGATAACGTACTAGAATTGAACACGAGTAACGTTAAGAGTGCAACTAAGATCAAGCTACGTGATAGTATACCAAGTAAAGCCAAACCTAAGAACAAAAAAGACACCAAATCATCCACTCAGCTCTACCTCGATTTTGGACAACGAAACGCTCACACTATCGAATGCAAAGACTGTGGAATGAGATATACCCGTGGGAATACAACAGAGATTAGCTTACATGAGACATATCATTCAACTACTATATTTGGAATCGAATGGAATCATAAAATGACACAATCAGTCAAATCACTCGAAAAGATCGACAGATTGGGAATTTTGCGCGTAGATCCCTCGAATGCATCACAATATGTAACTAGAAAAGTAGAAGAAGTGCACGCACTACTGCATAGTTCATTAGATGCACCAAGTTTTACTGAAAGTATCAAAAACACTGCCAGAACATACCTCGCGATAGAAGATAATCGTATAGTTGCATCTGCAGTTACAACTCCAATGAGCTCTGCTTATAGGGTTGACATTTCTCGTATGTACCTTGAAGGTGCCCAACTAGGTGACATCCAGTTTAACTCGATCAGCGTAAACAAAGAACTAAGAGAGAACATCAAAGTGGGAATACACCGTATATTCGTACTACCAGCTTACAGGAAGAAAGGCATAGCGATGCTCCTACTAAACAATATCGCTGCTAGTGAAGTATATGGGAATACACTCACCAGTGATGACATAGCGTTTAGTCAACCAACTTCCGATGGTGCGAGATTAGCTTACAAATGGTCTAAACGTTTAGATTTTCTTATTTTTGATGATACAACTTAACTAATTGTTATATTACTCTTGTACATTAACATCGATGATATTGAACGCATTGAGAAGAACTTGTAGGTGAAAAACCCTCTAATGTGTATAATTAACAATATACAGATATATCCACTCCTACATTTACACCACGTATCCACTATTCGCAGTCAAGATGGCTATCAACCGTCAAACTCGCACATGAGAAAGTAGACGGTAGCGTTACCGATGAACCTATAGTTGTCTGCCATGGTTTAATGGGTTCGAAGCAGAATTGGCGCACACTCGCTAAGAATATTGCACAGAAAACACAAAGTCCAGTATACACGCTCGATCTTAGAAATCATGGTACATCACCACATGCGGAGCCACATGATTATACACATATGGCAGCAGATGTCTCCCAATTTATCGAAGAAAACAATTTGAAAAACGTCACTCTGATTGGTCATTCGATGGGTGGAAAGGTTGTTATGGCATTAGCACTCTCGAAGCCTCACTTACTGCGTAGATTGATTGTAGCAGATATGTCTCCACAAATCGCCGAAATATCTAAAGAATTCCGAGCATACACAGAGAGAATGGCCGAAATTGAAAACGCGGATGTTAAAAGTAAGAAGGAGGCTGATCAAATGTTACAGACTGTAGAACCAAATATGGCAATTAGACAGTTCCTCCTCACGAACGCGGAGATGAACAAAGATACCGGATTTTACAAATTTAGAATCCCAGTTGAGATTCTAAGGGACGCTATCCCAGCTATTGGTGATTTCCCATATAAAGCAGAAGATGAAGTCACTTTTGATAAGCCAACAACATTCGTTAAAGGTAGCAACAGCGCTTATCTCAACCACAAGAATATTCCATTGGCCGAAAAGTTCTTCCCAAATATGAAACTTGTCACTTTCCAAGCTGGACATTTCGTCCATACGGAGAAACCTTTCGAGTTCGTACAGTTAGTTACTGACGACATCGAGAGTGACCGTTCAATTTGAGCGGTTACTTTGGATTCCTATAGAGCATGCATCATTTCTATTTCTCCGTAATGCTTTCTTTTCTTTCTGATATTTCTTCATTTTCTCCATGTTTGCTTTTTCTTTTCGCTTGAAATTATCGACGCGCTGAGCTTTACCAGGGGACGTCTCATTGATCACACCCTTCTCACTCGCTATCGTTATTATACTCTCCAAGCGATGAGATGCAATCCGGCTATTCTGAGCTGCCGATCTCGTCGATGAATCACTGACGACAACGCTATCAGATGACTTCACATAATGTGCGTCCTCACGAAGTGCATTATGGACGTATTTAGGTAACCAGTTCTGCTTCACTTGCATCCTGGCTGTAGCTTTACTCGAAGTTTTATTAACATTCTGACCACCCTTCCCAGAGCTTCTAGAGAATGTGAAATCAACAGATTCCTCAGGTATTTTAAAATTTTGAAGCTTCTTCAGCCATTCTCTAGCTATAAACTGCGTTTGTTCATCTAATATACACCTCCGTGCACTACTATAGAACCACCTGATAAGCATAAAAGAAGAAGATATAAAACAAAATAAAACATGTATTTTATTAAAAATATGCTATGCTAATTTTAAGAGTTTTATCGAAACACATGTAAAAACAAAAATTGATGCAAAAATTGGTGGATATGCACGATGCTATTTAATCGACTTGCATTTCATGATCCTCTGAAGAAACTGTTAAAACTTCAGATAATGCTGATCTCGTACGTGGAAGGTAATCCTGTGTTTGATGACGTCTCTCCCGTTCTTCTGCACCTTCTGAAATTGAGGCTGTCAGCCCTGGTGAAACAGGTTGTTGAGGTGGTGAAGGCGTCTGCTCAGCAGTAGCCAAGGTAGCATTACCAACACCTACATCATCATTGAATCTCAATGGAGGTAGTTGAAAATGGTTTTGTGGATTAGGTGTTTGTTCAATACCGGTGAACCTTCTAGTAAATTCATCTTCGAATATGTTTGCAGTTGTATCTGGTTCTTGATTTACGTTCGTCCAATTATCGAAATCTCTATTGATTTGATTAATCGTCGCTAATGGGGATCCTGGTTGAGGAATTTGTTGTGCGGGCGCTTGAGGTTCTGGTCTGATAATTGGAGTTTGTTGATTATCATCTCTTGCTAGGTATGTAGGTACGAAATTTTCGCTTTCGTTTGCCATATCAGAACGTGTTTGGCACCTAACATTGTTAGTAGAATTAGATGGCCGGGATTCTACACACCAAAAGCGATGCCCAACTCTCCAAGCTCTAGATTGACATTCTTTACTGCAATATTTTGCTTTTCTACATATTCTACATTTCGCAAATTCCTTGGGCGATGACTCCCACTTACCGCATGCAACATTTGCACATTGTCTTATACCGTTGAAACTTTCATGCTTTCTGCAAGCATTCCTCATCGTAACACCCGCCCAGTATCTTATTTCTGAGGGCAAATAGATTGAAGTAGGATCATCAATATGACCCTCGTAAGTGAATGATTCAACTACGTAGAAGAGGTTTCTCTTGTAATAATCCCTATAAGCTAGTCTATCCATAGGATTCTCCTCAGGATCGAATGATGGTCTGCCTACTTGCCATGCTCTAGAAGGAGCTTGGAAACCTTCTCTTATGTGTGGGTATTTAGAAATGTATGCTAATAATTGTAAGGCTAATAAAACGTCCTCTTCGCGGTATATCGTATTCTCTTCTGGTCTGAAGTATTCTATATGCTCGATTGGTCTGCGTGTAATTGGAGATGAATTTGGTGATTGTACTGGTTGTGTTAATTGCGGTTGCTGTGGCGTTTGCTGTTGAATTACAGGTGCTTGAGGTGTATTTGCTGGAGTCAATTGTGGATTTGATTGCAGTTGTTGACTTTGACTAGATGGCACAACTGTTCCGGATCTTGCTCTTACGTAAGAGCTGGTTTCAGGTTGCTGTTCCTCAGCATCATCCTCCGACTGAACCACACTTGATGACCTCGAGACTGATGCTTCAGTTTGCGCTGATGTTGATGGTTCTACTTGATCGTTGTTCTGTTCTGTAAAATTAGGTGTACTATTTGGTACGGCTGGTGGCATTGGGGAGACTTGAGGAACTTCATTGAGTCCATTTATTTGTTCATCATCAGCTAATAAGCTCGATTCAGGTGTGACTGAACGATTTGTTGGCTGAGTTGATTTCGATACTTTGCGGTTATGCTGGTCATTGAGCCAAGCTGGGGTTTGGAGTGAGTGATGTATATAGTAAAATAAGATCAACGCACCTCTCAGACTAATTGTATGTAAATGATATTCCTTTATCTTTTTAAGGCGATATCTGTCCATCGAGGCTTTCCAAGTGCCTAATATCGCACCAGCCACATCGAGTACACCAGCTTGTACAACTTTAGTACGAAGCTCTTCAGAACCTCTTACACCGATGTTGACACAACATTGAAATGCCAATGTCCAGATGTAAAGAATCTGCCTGTCATACACGCCCTGGAGCGGCTGAGAACCGCGATCTGCAGGTAAAAGGAAAGGCGTCGGGCTTGCGCTAGCGCCTGGGACTAATAGAATAGACATCGCCCACTTCATTATCCTTACTAAGCGCTCGATGCCACCGTCGAGTGCGACGATATCTCTTACTTTTTGAGAAACGGAGGTAAGATATTGTAAATTTGTGAGTGAATTTATCAATGCTACCGGATCTCGTGTATCTAAAGCTATTTACATTTTCGTCAGCTCTATCTTGTACGTGTAATCAAGAGATCCCACCTTTACGATCAAAGAAAGAAGTAGATACAACACAAGATGCTCTATTCTGCTGTGGATTAGAGAAGTTACTCTCTCTCATATTTATATTCCAGTATCTTGTCGAACCTGCTGGTGGTTGGTGACCAAGAGATACAATCGCGCACGAGGATAAATAATGAAATTTAGGAGAGATAAATAAATATCTTAGCTAGCTATATATCACAAAGTTGCACATCTACCCATCCGTTTTGGGATCTCTCACGTTTAGATCTCCTGGACAACCGAATTTGGTAGATTTATAGAGATAATAGATTGTGTATAGATAATAATAAAGCATGAAAATAAATAAATAATTTTCATAGCTCCGTTTGATCTGACTCACCCCTTGATCAAACTCTACCATGGAGAACAAGCTTGAGAGATGGCGTAGCCATATTGGAGGCATTCCAGCGCTGGCGTTGCCTACGGATTATCCTAGACCATCGCAGCCAAAGTTTGTAGAAGCAGTTGAGAAGTTCGGAATAGAAGAAACAAGCGAACAATCTGAGTTGATTGCGATTTACTTGATGTTGCTTTATAGATACACAGGCGATACATCAATTATAGTTGGTTTTAACATCTCAAACGAGCCAACATTTTCAAAGTTCGAAATCGAACCAACAGCCTCGTTCAACAGTCTTCTCGACCACGTTAAGCAAACTATCAGCGACGCAGAAAAGTTCGCCGTACCATTCGAGCAGCTCAGATCTGAGATTCTCAAGGGTAGCCAGTCAAACGATAGCACCATCTTCAAAGTCTCACTTTCAACTTCGACAAACGAACGTACACAGTCTGCACTCTCTTCTGACTTGGCAGTACACTATGAAAAATTTGATAACTCTATTAAGATTGTCTACAACGCGCTTTTGTTCTCAAATCAGAGAGTCAAAAATTTCATCACACAATTTAATCTCATCAAGCAAAACATCAGCAGCATTTCAAACATAGGATCATTTTCTTTGCTCACCGAATCACAACAAAACATCCTCCCTGATCCACGTGCCGACCTCGACTGGTGTGGTTTCAAGGGTGCCATTACCGACATCTTTTCACAAAATGCGCAAGATGATCCAACACGCACTTGTATTGTCGAGAGCACTGATGATGGTAAAAAGCAGATTTGGAATTACAAAGAGATCGACGGCGCATCGAACATTCTTGCTCACCACCTCTTGAAGGGTGGTATTCAAAGGGAAGAAGTCGTCATGGTCTACGCTTATAGAGGTGTTGATCTTGTCGTCGCTGTAATGGGTGTCTTGAAAGCCGGTGCAACATTCTCAGTAATCGGTAGGTCGTGTCTTTTCTCCGACTACCTCATTTAACGTATTAAAGACCCTGCTTACCCACCTTCACGTCAAAACATCTACCTCCAGGTTGCACGCCCTCGTGGTCTTGTCGTTCTTGAAAGAGCCGGAGCTCTCTCATCAGATGTCAAGGACTATATCACCCAGGAACTTGATTTACGTGTTCAGGTACCTGCATTGAGCCTCACCAAGGATGGATTGAAAGGTGGATCTCTTGACGGTCAAAGCGATGTCCTTGCAAACCCAGCTCCTAATGAAGTTCAACACCCAGGTGTCGTCTTAGGTCCTGACTCTGTCGGTACACTCTCCTTTACATCAGGTTCAACCGGTATTCCAAAGGGTGTTATGGGTCGTCATTACTCACTCACTCACTTCTTCCCATGGATGTCCGAACGTTTTGGGTTATCTAAAGATGAAAAATTCACCATGTTGAGTGGTATTGCTCATGATCCAATTCAAAGAGATATCTTCACACCACTCTTCCTTGGTGCTCAATTGCATATCCCAACCTCGGAAGATATTGGTACACCAGGACAATTGGCTGAATGGATGGCGGACTCTGAGGTCACAGTTACGCACTTGACACCAGCCATGGGTCAACTGTTATCAGCACAAGCCAGTAGACAAATCCCATCACTGAAGAACGCCTTCTTTGTTGGTGATGTATTAACCAAGCGTGACTGCACCCGTTTACAAGCATTAGCACAGAATGTTCAAATTAACAACATGTATGGTACAACTGAAACACAAAGAGCTGTATCATATTATTCAATCCCATCTGTAAATGCTGACGTTTCTTTCCTTGGAAGACAGAAAGATATTATGCCTGCAGGTCAAGGTATGATTGACGTTCAGTTATTAGTTGTAAACCGTCAAGACAAGAACGTCTTATGTAGTGTTGGTGAAGTCGGTGAAATATACGTCCGTTCAGGTGGTTTATCAGAAGGATACTTGGATCCAAATGCTACTAAAGAAAAATTCACCGAAAACTGGTTCGGAAGTGGTGTAGAAAGAAAGGACACAATTGCATCATCAAAAGAAGCATACGGTAGATATTGGAAGGGTATTCGTGATAGAATGTACAGAACTGGTGATCTTGGTAGATACGGTCCAGATGGTTTAGTTGAATGTACAGGTAGAGCCGATGACCAAATTAAGATTCGTGGATTCAGAATTGAATTAGGAGAGATTGACACTCACTTGTCAGCTCATCCACTTGTCCGTGAGAATGTAACACTAGTAAGACGTGACAAAGACGAAGAAAAGGTCTTGGTTTCATACTTTGTTCCAAATCAAACGAATGATTTGGAAGGCTACATGAGTAATGATGAGGAAGACGACACAGATGTCCAAGACGAGCGTTCAAGAGAGATTGCAAGAGGTCTCAAGCGCTACCGTAAACTCATTAAAGACATGCGCGAACATCTTAAGACCAAGTTACCAAACTACTCTATTCCATCTAGTGAGCTGGTTGTTTATTTTGATAATCTCTGCTAATACTTCCTAGTTTTCATTCCACTCACACGTATGCCTTTGAATCCTAATGGTAAAATCGATAAGCCAGCTTTGCCATTCCCTGACACAGCTATTCTTGTCCCTCGCTCAAACGTACGTGACGATCGTACACTCACACCAACCCAGCAAACTATTCATGACGTTTGGAAGAATCTTCTTCCATCTGCTCCATCATCAATCGCATTAGACGATAACTTCTTTGACCTTGGTGGTCACTCGATTTTAGCCACTCGTTTGATTTTCGAAATCAGAAAGGCTCTCGTCGTCGAAGCTCCACTTGGGTTGGTATTTGAGCAACCAACAATCGGTGGATTAGCGCAATCAATCGAAGCATTGAAGGCATCAGATTTGGGTCTTCACTCAGATGTTAGTGGAAAGAAAGAAGAAAAGGCAGCAGCTGATGAAGTCTTATATGGTCAAGATGTCGACAATCTCATTCCCCAATTGGCAGCCAAATACGAAGCACTTCCATCAGACTTCAACAACAAGAAACTTACTGTTGTATTGACTGGTGCGACTGGTTTCCTTGGTGCATTCGTCCTCCGCGATCTCCTCAATTTACGTTCAGACAGAGTTGGAAAGGTCATTTGCATAGTTAGAGCAAAGTCCAGTGAAGATGGTATCAACAGACTTAGACAGGGTGGTTCAGCTCGTCATTCATGGGATGAAAACTGGGTTCAAAGTGGTAGAGTTGAAGCCGTCGTTGGTGATCTCGAAAGCAACCATTTCGGATTAGATGACAAAGAGTGGAGTAGATTATCAAGCGAGTCAGATGCTATTATTCACAATGGTGCATTTGTCCACTGGGTTTACTCCTACGGAAAGCTTCGCTCAGCTAATGTGCTTTCAACACTCACTGCGATTGAGTTGGCGTCTAACACCAAATCCAAGGCACTTTCATTTGTCTCATCAACATCTGCACTCGACACAGAACATTACATAAAATTATCTGATGAATTGTCACTCTCCGGTTGTTCTTCAGGTGTATTAGAATCTGACAATCTTGAAGGTGCACGCGAGGGACTTGGAACAGGATATGGACAAAGCAAGTGGGTTGCCGAGAAGCTCATGATGGAGGCTACCAGGAGGGGCTTAGCTGGTTCCATCGTAAGACCTGGTTATGTTGTTGGTGACTCCGAGTCAGCAGGTAGGTAACTCATTGAACCTATTAATTTATTAACGCCTGTTAGTAACCAACACTGACGATTTCTTGTGGCGTCTTGTTAAGGGTTGTGTCCAACTTGGACAAGTACCAAACATCCACAACTCTGTCAACATGGTTCCTGTTGACCATGTGGCCAGGTTGACAGCACTCTCTGTACTTTACAGGCTCGAGACAGGCGCCAGCACACCAGTCGTACATGTAACAGCAAGACCACCGGTACGCTACTCAGATTTACTCGGTTGTCTCGAAAAGTATGGATATGGAGTTGCGACATCGGACTATCTCGTCTGGAGATCGGAGTTAGAGAAGCACGTTATGGAAGTTGGAGATAACGCGCTCTTCCCATTGCTGCACTTTGTATTGGATGATCTGCCAACATCAACCAAGAGTGCGTCATTGGATGACAGAAACGCAAGAAAGTTGCTCGAGAGTGTTAGTGGAGGAGAAAGTGTTAAAACGACGGTTGACATGCCACTACTCGGACTGTACCTCGCCTGGTTGATAAAAGCGGACTTCTTGCCTGCTCCAACTCAAAAGGGAGAACTCAAGCTGCCGGAAGTCGAGGAAGCAAGGGCTATAGGCAGAAGTGGCCATTAAACGTGTAAAAAGTAAAACTTATAATAAAATTGATTTTTTTATATTTCTCCATTATGATCACTCGAGTGTAAGACCAACTCATCACTCAACACTCACTTAAGTTGAGATAATGGCCAGTCACGCCAACAGAGGTGGAAAGAGAAACAACAATGCATTCAACTCAGCTAACAGGTTAGTACTCGTCTTTTATACTCCCTCTTTTGACGAAATCTAGGAAACAAAGCTGGAGGACGCCAAAGAGTACAGAGAAGCTCCAGGCAGCAATAGTAAGTACTTTCTTTGTACACCGTCTATTCTCACCGCTACAGGGTAAACCTGTCCTCATCTCCACGCGTCAGAACGAGAGGCTCAAGGGCACGCTGATCTCCACCAATCAGGAGATTACGTTGAAGCAGGATAATAAGCAGTTCAAAGTACAATTCAAAGATCTATTAGACGTCGAGGAGCTCAAAGACAACTGTAGGTCTTCTATTTGCTCGTCACTGCAATTTGCTTACCTCTATTAGCATTCAAAGTCGATACAGACATTTCAAAATCTAAGCGCACAAATGAGCGCGAATTACAACCTTGGACACCGGACGGTCTATTTGATGATCCTGCTATCGTCTCATCCTCACAGGATGCATCCATCAGCTGGGCAGACGATTACCCAACAAATGACACTTTCGGCACTTCAGACGGCGCTTGGGATCAATTCAAGGCCAACGAACAAATGTTCGGCTTGCAATCAAATTACAATGAGGAACTTTACACCACAAAGTTGGACAGATCCGGTGATAACTACAAGGAACGCGAGAAAAACGCTGATAAACTCGCAAAAGAGATTTTGAACCAACAGTCTAACAACCCCCACGTCGCGGAAGAGAGAGGCCAAACTGTTGCACTGTCTGAGGAGGAAAAATACTCCGGTGTTACGAGAGGTCCAAATGCTTACGTGCCTCCACAAGCACGTAAAGCATCGCAAAACGCACCTGTGCAACCAGCTCAGCAACAGCAACCACAACAACAGCCATCTCAGCAACCAGCAAAACAGTCAGCCCCTCAACCACAGCAAGCTCAGCAACCACAAGCACAGCCTCCGACCGCTCCAAAGTCCCATGTTCAAATGCAATTGCCACACGAGAAAGCGTCTTCAAAGCCTACGGATCCATCTTTGATAGGCGATTTCAAAGCTTTCGTTTCACATGAAAAAGAGCGTTTGCAACAAAAGAAACAAGCATTAGTGAAGCAAGAAAAGTCATCTACAGTTGCTGATCTCATTAAATTCGGTCAATCGTTCAAGTTAAAGACTGATATGCCAGAAGACATCGCATCTATCGTTGCAAAGAACAATGAGAAAAAAGCTAGGGAAGCTCAAGAGGCCAAGGATTCAAAGGCCGATCCATCAACCCTCCAAACCAAAGCTGAACCAAGCAAACAAGAGAAATCACCTTCACTTAAGCAATATATGAACATACCAAAGATTCCACCTTTCAACCCTGACCGTGTGAAGGCAGTAAGAGCAGAACGTGATCGTCACGTTTCACAACCTATCTCTGCTTCACCAAAGTCCCCACCAAATGAACAGAAATCGATTGCTTCACCTGCGTTATCACAGGCAAGCACATCAACCGCAGGTGGTTCAAAGACATTGAATCCAAAAGCATTTTCATTCAAACCAAATCCAAATGCATTGTCATTTACTCCAGGTGCTTCAATGTCACCAAAGCCAGCTTCACAATCTACTTCCCAAGCTTCACAAAGCACATCATCTGGTTCAAGTAACCCATTCTTTGGTAATAAATCAATCAGGCGGGGATTGACAGGTTTACATGTGAAGGAAGACTTCAATCCATTTAAGCACTCCACTGTTGTCGAAGCACATCAAGTAGGTCCGCATTGGCAATTTAGTGGGAAATCCTACAAATCGAGGTTCCCTACAAATCCATACTACGGTGGTAATGAATACAACACTCCTGAAGAGGCAATAGCTGCTCAAAACATGGTTGTAGCTCAAGCTCAGGCTGCGGCTCAAGCTCAGGCAGCTGTAATGGGTCAAGGACAGCAATATTACTACAGAGTTCCATTTGGAGGACAGTCACCTATACCAAATGGGGGACCAATGGGTGCACCATATATGGGACCACAATTCGTTGCGCCACCACCGGGACAGGCTGCAGTCGGATTTGCACCACAAATTCAACCAGGTCAAGGACCACCACCTGCTCAAATGTTCCAAGCAGCGATGGCAGCGGGTTTACAAGCTCCTAGACAACCATATTTGCCACAGTTTTCACCAAATATGCAATCAAGACCACCTATGACTGGACCACCGCCACCACATCATCCCCATTCGCACCAATCAACAACTCCAACACCACAACAATCACAGTCTAGTCAAGCAGGTCCACCAATGTTTGCAGCATACCCATCACCATCACCTCAAATGACACCATTAGTACCTTACCCTGCACCGCCAATTGCACATATACGACCAATGGGAGTACCACAAGCTGGATCACCCGGACCAATATCGCAAACGCCTTCTTCATACTCACCTGCACCTTCCGAAGCACAGCAACAACAACATTAAAATTGCATGAAAAGTAGTATAAAAAGAATGTAGGCGTTGAGAATTGTATTGTTTTAGGGATGTAATTAATTTTATGCATAACTTTTACCCAAATTTCTTGTCTTCTCTCTTGTGATAAGACAGTCAATGGATTTCTACAAGAAAGCGTCTGATGCGCTAGAGAAAGTATTGACTAAGAAGACGTCTGTGAAGTCATTTGCCCATTCTAAGCGTTTATTAGCATTGATATTAGAGACGCTGAAATATCAGGATGTGATAAAGCAATTGATTGATATAACAGATTTAATGAATAAAGAGAAGAAAGCTATAAAGTTTGCCAAGCCGCAGGGTAACCCTATATACCTACTTATGGTACTCCTACACGATTTGTTGTTTTCGAGAAGACAGGCTATAGAGGCTGGACAAGGACCTATAAAGGATGCAATCTTAAGGCATAAAACTAGACTAAGAGGTGAACTCACAAAGATTAGAGTAAAGGCTGGCGTCAGTTCGAACTTAGAATTAGCTAGAAAGGCTGAATCAGGTGCAGGTAAGTATAGCAGCCATAACAGTGGTGTTAGCTTATTGAATATAACAGAAATGATCCCACGCTACGTCCGTATAAATACCAATAGGATTAAGTTTGATGATGCCATCAAAAAGATCTCAGATAACTTCAAATTGGAGAGCTATACAGGTTCTGATATGCCAATACCAAGGTTCGTGTTGTTGTTTTAGCTCTTCATTATGCTCAACTACCAATAGCAATAAATACAAAGTTATAGAACATATACCGGGATTGATAGCAGTCAATACATCAATATCGCAACAATTGACTTCTGATAAGATGTATACAAATGGAGAAATAATACTTCAAGATTTAGCAAGTTGTATGCCCCCAATTGTTCTACTCGACGAGCTCCAGAAGGGGAATAACAAAGGGAAGAGGAAGGCAGACAACGACAATCACGTGGGTACTGTAATAGATGGTACGGCAGCGCCAGGTAATAAGACAACCCTCCTCTCCGCTCTCCTTGGCAACGAAGGGAAGGTTCTTGCTTTTGAACATGTTCCAAAACGCTTCGAGACACTCGAAAAGATGGTCAAAACTGCTGGATGTGCTAATGTGACTTGCAATTTGGGAGATTTCACAAAGTGTGATCCAGCTAGTCATCCAGATGTGACCCATATGTGAGTTTACCTATTGTGAGAGTGTATATAATAACTAAAACCTTTCAGTCTTCTCGATCCTAGTTGCACAGGTTCGGGAATTGTCAATAGACTGGATTATTTGACAGAACAAGGTGCGCTTCCTGGTTAATCTAAGACTTCACTTCTAACAATACTAGAAAATGACGATAAAGATGCACACGACGAGCGTCTAAATTCTTTGGCTGCTTTCCAAGAAATGATAATAGGTCATGCTATGAAATGTAAGTGCGTCTTTAGTTTTGAGATCTCGCTAAGATATACTCAAGTCCCAAACGTGAGGAGAATTGTTTACTCAACATGTTCAATACATGACGATGAGAACGAAATGGTTGTTATGAACACCCTCACGCAGCATCCAGAATTTGAGCTCGCATCTCGGGAAACGTGTCTCCCGGGCTGGCCTACAAGAGGGCATCCTGAGCCATTCAACAACGATGTCAAGCTTGCTGACAGTGTAATCAGATGCAAACCCGGAACAGATCTTACGAATGGTTTCTTCGTAGCTTGTTTTGAAAAACGCCAAAATATTGACAATCAGGGTCCATCTAAAAAGAGAAAGAACAAGAAGAAAAATGCGAGTTCTAAAGCAGAAAATTGAATAAATAAATGATTTTACCTATTGTGAACCATCATTAGAGAAATTATTTGTCTAAGACACCACTTACAGTTCCATCTTGACGATGATGCGGGATTTCTCGTATAATTGGAAATCAGCGATTGAGGCACTTACGACATTGCCTATATCTTTGAAGGATTCTTCTTGTGACACACTATTTTCTTTGTATATCCGAGCTTTCATACCGCCTAGCTGAGCAATTTCACAGTCAGCGAAGCTTCTTGTAAGTGCACCGTCGTTTTTCCAAGCTGAAATGAGCGTACATCTAAGATCCTTAAAAAGACTTGGATTGCTTTCATAACGCTTTTTCAACTCCCTTACGACCCAATAAGCATTAACATTGTTGGATAAACGCTGATAAATGCTATCATTCTGCTTCGTTCGTATGAGATATTGAGCAAGTGAGTCATGTGTTGGATACATCCAACTGATCTTATCCCTTGGTTGACGTATACTCAAGATGGCACTTTTGATTTGATAGTGAGAAACCATATCGTTGTAACGTCTAAGAGGTGAAGTGACACGAGCATATCCATCTGGACAGCCGTTTAGCAGATGTGGTATAGGTTTCGTGCTGAGCGTGCTGCCAGAGAATGAAGCCATACTCTTCCCGACATCAGCTGAGCTGACTACACCAGTGACAATATCGCGTTTTCCCATGAGATCCTCAAGACTGGAGGGGTCATTCACTTCTGGAAGACCTGCCCCTCGAAAGATACCAGGTACATCATGGTCACGACACCATAAGGCAGTGACTTCGCAAGCAATACTCATAAATTGTGACACTGCAAATCTTGCTGGAGATTGCTGTACGTTGGGTACAGCTAGCAGTTTTACGGACGGCCGGCCATCCCATAATGCCAGTTCAGATGGTGGTGTAGGCAATGGAAGCGGCGTAACCTGTGCTTCTGGTGTGAAAGTGTGCCAAAACAACATGCCATTTTCTACTCTTCGAGTGGAATGAAGAACGGCGAGCTGTGATACGCGTCCAAGTGTATCTATATCTTCGGTTGATATACTCGTATTTGATGCCTTATTAGGTGATTTGTCCAGTAATCTGTTATCATTTTGGAGTGCATCTGCTCCCAATACTTCATCGACTGCATTATACTGCATTATTTTGATGTTGTTGATAAATGACGGAGAGACGTCGTAATTTCTTATTCTACCCTTATCATCCAATTGAGCAGAGAAAGTGAGCGCCTGCTGCGGTGATCTGCTTCCAAGGGAGAAGTTGCTCATACAGAATTCTTTTGGCAACATCGGTATAGTCCTGTGGGGGAGATATACCGAAGTGTGGCGTTCCTTAGCTAATATTGACAGTGGGTGGTTAAATGGTATGACAGAAGTTGGATCTGCAATATGCACATGGACCCAAGTGTTTCCGTCCTTATCAGTAGGCTCAACTGACATACCATCATCGAGCTCATTTGCACCAGCATCATCTATAACGTACACAGGCAGCTTCGAAAAATCTCGGCGATGATTCTCGAGCAAGTCATTCACGTGAAGGCTCGTACTTCCATTCGAATTGTGCTCTTTCATGGCTATATCACCGAGTAATTTGAAGCGGCTATCTGGATCGTTGTCGCGAGGCACTACAGATGTGCTACCCGCCATGTGTATTGTTTCCCAGGGCGCGAACAAGCCAATAGTTTGGAGGAAATCAAACGATAATGACCGCCAATTCTCTTGGTTTACGTGATGGTATTTGTCAAAATTCTTGAGGAGTACACATACCACTGACTCATAAGGATTGAAAGCGGGTGTGTTGAGCGTTTGACAACTATCTGTGATGAGTCTAATAATTATATTCTCTCGTTCATCGTATTTCAATGTAGAGGGTATATCCGTTATGGCTTTTGGCATCACTCCGGTTTCTTTACTGATTGAGTCTGACAATTTTAACAAACCTCTGCTCTTCTCAACAAAACTGATTAGTATTTCACGGCCTTCTTTTGTGTTCATCCACTCATTCACCAGGCGGAGAATCTCAACTTCAACTTTCGGCCTTACACTGAACCTCATTTCTTTTATAGCCGCTTGGTTATCAATCATATTGTACTCTGTTGTGTTTCTATAGAGCATCATGTGAAATGCCATAATTTGCAATCTACTTGGATTATGTATCTTAAATTCACGTTGTAAAAGAGTAATAATATCATATTCCCTCCACTTTGTGTCACTTTTGTCTCTAATTTTCTCAAAAACCTTACTAAAATCAAGAGTATACTGTCTTAGAGTTGACTCAACGTCAAATAACATTCTTTTGAACCTTGAGACGAGCTTAGATTTAAGGAGTGCATAACTGTCATTCTCTGGGTTGTATATGTGATGTTGAGCGAGTGGATTTTTCTTAATTTGTTCAACAGCTCTGAATAATTCTGTGCGTTTCAATTCGCCTTGCTTAAACAAAGGAGCTGAATACACGACTGCTTGCTCCGGATAAGCTACTATGGCACCCGAAGATAGCAAACACCACCAAACTTTACGTCCGTCTATGATGTCTGTGGCGAGACCAACACCGTATTGAGTGAATCTATAAGGGTGTTATTAAACTTTATAGAGAAACGCCTTACTAACTTTGGTATATAAAGAAAATCACCGGATTGGACATCTCGAGTGGTGTGCTTTTCAAACCAAATTTCTTTGTCGGAAGGATTGATTTTTATAGGGCTGAAATCGCCAGAGAGGTTATTAGAATAATCTAAACCGTTTGATTTCTTTAACCCCCATGTATGACCAGTTACTGCTGCATTTATAACCTTTAAGGCAGATTTTCGCTGTGAATCGAAAGCAGATTTCGTGAGTCTAGATTGACGATTGGAGAGGTTATCCAGTTGCGTATAAGGTCTATTTAAGAGCTTCCGAGCGCTCGATTTCATATTCCTTCCAAGAGAGAAGGCGGGTACGTCAGAAAGTGGACTGATTATAGCTAATTAAAAAAATTGGACTAAATAATGACTGTATTAAAATGTATAGAAACTGTCCGGATGTATTTGTGCGCTGACACTTCATAGATTCACGGGCGGGCGGTGTATTAGTCAGTGTCTCGTCGACCGGCCTAGAGATGACCGACAACTTTTCCTTGAACAGTCATCAATAAAACATTAAATGTGATGAATTACCTATACGATCTATTTAGTTACGGTAGTCAACAATTCAACAAAGATACTAGAGACGGTCAATCCGATAGCGACACTAGATATCCCGATAACCCTGACAAACTGAACAATGAAAGCACAAACGATACAGCCACAGACTCAAATGAAGCCAGCTCTTTGAATAACAGAGAGCTCTCTACTCCAGATTACAGTGACGACATGCCGCCTTTCGACTCGTCAATGTCTCCGACACAGTCGTTAACGCTACCTAACAGCTATACTAACGGCCAACATAAGAATATTTTTGGAAAGTTATTTAAGAATAAGGTTAAGGGCTCTACTACGCCTCCTTCAGTTGGTTCTAGACGACATTCGTTTGACGGCATCCCACAATACATCCGTATACACTCGCATAGACAGCCAAACAAAGTATTCCAGCGTTTATATATACAGCAGACGCTTTGCCCACCACTCGCAAAATTATCAGCTTTGCCATCCTCCTTAGCACAGCGTGCGAAAATCCAGGCATCGTCAAGACCGACGTCACCAAATTCAAGTCCTGAAAATCATCGTACAGCTAGCTACGATGATGAGGATGCAATTTATGACATAAAGTTCAGTCATGATGGAAAGCACCTCGCTTCCGCTAACTTCAATGGCGTTGTTAGAATACACAATCTGACAAAAGATGGGAGATCTTTCGATGACTACAACGTTAAGCAATTCCGTGATCACCAAACAGGTGTTAGTGGTTTGGACTGGAGTAAGAATAACTTCTTGATCACCGCAAGTCTTGATAAGACAGTGAAATTGTGGCACCCTGATAGAAATACAGCCTTGGCTACTTTCAGACATTCAGACATAGTTACTTCAACAAAGTTCCATCCTAAAGATGACAGATATTTCCTTAGCGCAAGTTTGGATGCTACGGTACGTTTATGGCTGATCCCTAAGAAAGTTGCTGTTTTCTCGACAAGATTATCAGAACTTATTACGGCATGTGCTTTCAACAAAAGTGGCAAGTATATCTTGACCGGTGGTCTCACTGGACAGTTTGATGTTTTCACCTACACCAATAAAGGTCTTGACCATAAGAAAACCATACAGTTGTACCACCACTCCCATCAACAGAATAGCCATCATAACGATTGCCATGCCAGCAGAAAGACAGCCTCTAGCAAGAAGATTGTCGGTATTGAGGTTGTACCAAATGAAGCTGGCGATTATGTTTTGGTTACAAACGCCGATAATAGAGCATATATGATAGACTTGGACTCAATGAAGGTCGTTGCAAAGTTCAAAGGTTGGTATCATTTAATTGATTAAGCTCAACTTACATGATTATCAGGTAACAGAAACAGATCGATGCAGATGAGTATTACGCCATCGAATGATGGAAGTTGGATAAGCTCTGGTAGCGAAGACAAGCATATTTATGTTTGGCCAATAAACTCAGCATTAAACAAGAAAGAGGTTACCAATATTAGCGTTTCCGGTTATGACTTATGGCAAACACCTGAAGTTATAAAGTGTACGGCTATTCTGCGTCAAAACCATGAGGCGTTAGTTGTTGGTGGTAGTGATAATGGTGTAATTTACGTTTATCGCGCAACCGTAAATAACCAGAATAAGGCACCAGATTTAAAGCACCCTAAACCTAATCAAATGAGTCTTCCATTGCCATCCAGCCCTAGTACAAAGAAGTCAAAACAAAAACGCCCACTAAGTGCGCTTCCGATCCTTGGTCGGTCGCATCAGTCGCAATCACCATTATCCTTAACTCCGAGCTCGACAATATCACCAAAGTATGACAGGCATCAGTATTTTTAATTTTGTGTATAGTATTAGTTAATTTATTGAATTTTAATTATAAAGTTGTCTCAGACTCGGAAATGAAACAGGGCTGTACCCTAAAAAGAATGCGTTTGTTGCATATAAGAGTATGTAAGAGTATATATTTTTGATATATATTATATGCAATGCAATCAATCTAGATTAGTCGTCGCTTCGGTTCGTCTATTATAATGACCGTGCCTGTTAATAAAAAGACGGCAAGAAATTAGTTCTTAGTATTTCTAGTAATTTATTCTTGCTTTTGTAATCGCCATCGCCTCCACTAGTAAATCCTCCACTTATTCTCCATTTCGCTATCACGCTTGGTCCATCACTCTTGTAACTCAACTACCATCAAATAAAATAATGAATAGCCATTTGACGCCTACGCGGGCAGCTCCACCGCCGCCAGCAGCAGCAGCGACCGCTAAGCCAATCATCAAGAACAACAGCAAATCCCCGAACAGAAGGGGTTGGGCGTCTATCAAGGATGATAGCCCTATAATGAGCTGGTTATGGACGAAGAAGTGGATAGTTCTCAATCCACGTACTATTGATATATACAAGAATGATGTGGGTTACTGCGATATTCTATACTTTCTTAACAAATTAGCAGTCTGCACCTGCACCACAAATGGCTATACAATTGAACAAGATTATAGCAGTAGAACGTACAGATCAGAAGCCATTTTGCGTAGAGATTACCACAAACAAAGTTTACAGCCTGGCATTCAAATCAGACGATGAGTTATACGCTTGGTTGGACGATATCTACAATGCCAGTCCATTAGGCGTGACTACCCCCACCGATTTTGTACACCAAGTGCACGTCGGTTTTGACCCAGTTTCTGGTGCTTTCACTGGTTTACCTGAACAATGGAACAAATTGCTACAAACATCAGCTATCACAAAAGAAGACTATGCTAAAAATCCGCAAGCCGTTTTGGATGTCTTAGAATTCTACACTGATCAGCAGAGAAGAGAAGAAGTTGGTTACAGTCAGGGCCAGAAAGCTGGTCAAACGAATAGATTCCCACCTTCAGGTGGTACTACATACACACCGCCTGCAGCTAATGCTAGATTTGGTAATGGTACTGGTTTGGCTGGTCAAAATGCTGCCGCACCTAGGGCAGCTCCACCTCCACCAGCACAACCGGTCAAGAAAGAGAAAGCCCCAGCTACTACCACCCAACCTGCCCCTCAAGCAACCCAAAAAGCTCCACCACCTGTAAAACCATTGCTTACAAATAAGAAAGCAAACACTCCAAATCTCACTCCTGCTCAACAACAAGCTCAAGCTAAGCAACCACAACCACCGTCACCATCAAATGAAGAACCTCCAACTCCGAAAGTCGCAGAGAGACGTATATCCGCTATGAATGATACACAAATTATGGAAAAGTTGAGACAAGTAGTTAGCCAAGGTGATCCTAATAATATATATTCAAAGATCAAGAAAGTTGGTCAAGGTGCATCAGGCAGTGTTTATGTTGCAAAAATACTTGAAAATGGTCAAAAAGTTGCAGTTAAACAAATGGATTTGAGCGCACAACCGAGAAAGGAATTAATTGTCAATGAAATTTTAGTTATGCAAGAAAGTCATCATGCTAATATCGTTAACTTTTTGAACGCGTTCTTAATTAAGAATGGTGAATTATGGGTCGTTATGGAATATATGGAAGGTGGTGCATTGACAGATATTATTGATAATAATGAGATTGAGGAGGATCAAATTGCATGTATATGTAGAGAAACTTGCAAAGGTCTTAATCATCTTCATCAACAATCAATCATCCATAGAGATATTAAATCTGATAATGTTTTGTTAGATTCACAAGGTCACGTTAAGATAACAGACTTTGGATTCTGCGCTAAATTATCTGATCAGAAGAGTAAAAGAGCGACAATGGTTGGTACACCATATTGGATGGCACCTGAAGTCGTTAAACAAAAAGAGTATGGTGCTAAGGTTGATATTTGGAGTCTTGGTATTATGGCAATAGAAATGATAGAACAAGAGCCACCATATTTAGATGAAGAACCACTTAAAGCTCTATACTTGATTGCAACTAATGGTACACCAACATTAAAGAAACCAGAAAGTTTATCACGTGAATTAAAGTCATTCTTGGCTGTTTGTTTATGCGTCGATGTTAAATCACGCGCTGCAGCTGATGAACTTATAAATCATGAGTTTATGCAAAAGTCTTGCGCATTATCTGGACTTGCACCCTTGTTGAGATTTAGAAGCAGACAATAAGGGTTTCGTATATAACGGAGTTTTCATATTTTAGTTTTTACATTTAGTTTTTTTGTTTGTGTAGAGAAAGCTTTTTATTTTTTTTAATAAATATACCTTTATCGCCTATAGTAAATTGTCTTCTTTCTTCAATGATGAGGTTGATAAATAGAGTAGGAGGGATTAGAAGAATTTGTAGGATGATAGTGCTATATCATATAAACTGGTAGCTAATATATCTAATACAGCTACTAATATAAATACAAATGCATTGCAAGCATACTTTAAGCAACAGTTTCCTAGCTTACCAGAAGAGATAAACGAACAAGTCGCATTGAGAGCAGTAACACACAAATCGATAGCTGGTATACATGAGGATCATCAATCTAGATTAAGTTTTCTCGGTAGAAGGACGCTCAGATTTCAACTAATGCTGCATTTACTCGAAAGCGGGAAGAGCGTCGAGGATGAATTGTTCAGATGTTTAGATACTAGCAAGTTGGGTGAAACAATAGGGAATGATTGGGAATTAGAGAGAGTTATGCGGTGGTCTACGAACAGTGAGAACTCAGGCGTATATAAAGTGAGAGGATCTACGGTTGAAGCTGTCGTTGGTGCTATTTCACATCAATATGGACAAGAAATTTCTAATAAAATATTTAAATCGAAAATATTGCCAAAACTTGGCTTGTACTAAGTCGATATGGATGAATTATTACAGTCTATTATAGACAAACGATTTGATAAAAATAATTTTAAGTCTTTGGCTATAAACTATAAGGAACTACTCAGTTTACCTCTGGATGAATATACTGTTCACTCTTTAGTCGAACTCGATAGCAGTAATCTAATTGACGATTTCTTTGAAAAGTACTACAAATACTTCTTAGATAAGCAGTTTGTTAGGGACTTTATTTTGAAGCACTTCTCCCATGGTATTTCTAGTCAATTGGTTGCAGAACACTTGAACGATAATAGACAGTGTACTTCGCTCTTGATAGAAGCTTTACCTGACAACTACAATGAAATCTACACCTCAATAGAGCACAACTTCGATAGCCAACATCGTCTCAAACTCCTCCAACTTACACTCTCCCTGGTTAGTCAACAGCCAATACACTCTCATCACCTCATACACTCAGAGCTCTTCCAGCTGATACTCATCAGCAGCTTAATAGATTTGGATAGCAGCATCATATCATTAATCAACTGTATACTCTCTATTTTGCTCCCGAAATACCCACAATTACTCTCAAATTATGTACCAACCTTTTTAGCTCTGGTTGGTAGAACACTCGTCTGGAAGAGGCGGAAGAACGACTTCATTCAGAATGAGATCTTATCAGGCTTATCATCATCGTCGTCATCGAGTTATAATCTAACAGTAAAGCCCACTAAATTGAGCCAAATAGTCAATCAAACAGCTTATACACCTTCAACAACACCTCTGTTTACTTTCCTTTATGGCATTTTTCCTTCAAACACACTGGCTTTCCTCAGGTCACCAATTGACTATCTTCAATCATACAATTTCGATAATCCCTACTACCAAGATCTTGAACACTGGTTATTTGTTGATTTGATAAAAGCTAGGTCATTGCCTTTGCTTAGAACTCATTTGATACATCCTTTCTTCTTGAAATACACCCTCAATGATCCACATCATGAACTCAGTCAGACTAATCAACGCTGGCCTGATCCGGAATCTCAAGCAATCCTTGCGCAATGTGCAGTATTAGAGATAAATGCAGCAACTATAGTTGAATATGGTAGGAGAATAGCTGAAGGGATTATAGTTGATGGGAACACACTCCTCGATCAAGAGAACGCAAACCTGTCACAATTAGATTCACAAGTCGATCAATCGATGATATATCTCCCTGAATCTAAAGCACTTCGCGACAGTATACAAAAAGCTCGAGCTGATCATGCGGTTGAATTGAAAAAAAATGATAATGATAGGGATGTAGACCTTGAGCGTGATTTCACGTATGAACAGTACATAAAAGGACAGCTACTCATGCGTCTTGGTCAACTCCATCGTAGACGTTTAGCCGAAGCACGCGATGAGGATGCTCAACAGTCTTTGTATATCCATCTACGTGAATTGTCAAGCAGGTTATCACAGGCTCAAGCAGCGCTCTCAAATGCAAGGTCCGAAGCCGCCAAAACCCATGCAAGACATGTAACTTGGACAGACGAGCTCCAACGGAAAGTAAAATACTTCCGAGAGGAGAAAAAGAATTGGGATGCTGAAGCTGTCGGTCTGCGTGGTGAACGTAGTGCCGCTGAAGAAATCATACGCGTTAATCTAGGCCGTCTTGCTGACTCTGGTAACCGCATTTTCGAACTCGAAAATCAAATCAGAGAATGGCAACCAAAGATCGAGGAGTTTGATAAACTTGATGAGAGGAACAAAGATCTAGTCAAGTCGTTAGCTGCTAGGTAGGTAAAGTGAAGATTTTATCAACTATACTAATGGATGTATTAGAGATGATGATTTATTTAGACACGATGAACAACGTCGAGAGATGCAGATTCTCCTCGGTCGCTTCAATCAACTCAAGACAATGACAAAGGCAGAACGAGATGCTCGTATTGCTGCTGAAAATGAAGCACGTAAATCTCGAAACGAGAGTGATCAGCTCAAGCTAAAAAACGAACACCTCGAAGGCAGACTCCGGGAAGTGATCGAAAGTAGAGAAAAGCAGGAAATCCATCAAGTGAAGCAAGCGAGAGAATATTACGTACCAGAGTCTAATAATACAGCACTACAGGAGGAAATACTCACGCTTCGATCTCAAGTTGAACGACTGGAGGCTGAGAAAAGGGAGGGTATGTCTATGTACTCGCGTGACGACGACGAATCGAGTGATGAAGATGTCGTATTTACAAGGAGAGAAAGCTCAAGATCACCATTAACTAAATCACCAAGTGTACCTCCAATTAGTCTCTTCCCTGCCTCGTTATCAAACGCTTGGACACAATCGCAACCAACGACACCTCAGGTTAGCACAGCTTCAAATGAAGCTCTACACACACGTACCCGACATGTACGCTCACCGACTCTCTCGTCTGCCCCGTCCGTGATTGCTGGTCTGGGGTTAGGACCGAATAGCAGAAAGTCAAGTAGTGAACGGAAGCTATCAAGTTAATTGTAAATTTTTTAAAAAGTGTATATTAATCTTTTTTGTTGTTATTTTCTAAACGAAGAAGACGTTCTCTGGCTTCTCTCATACGACCACCATAGGAGGATGATAAGGACGAGGCAAGCGATAAAAAATATATCTCTGCGTAGACTTTCTACAGCTACGAGTACGTCGTCTAGCCAAGCACTCAAAACACCACCGGTAGAGGCTCGTGGTAAGCAGAGCAGCAAAACAGCGAGCGAGGACGTCAATTTGCCTATTTTCAACGCCAAAGAGTGGTCAACTTCAGTTCCAATACAGAAGTCGAGATTGGTCGCTTTAGCTAATAGACTCGGCTTGTCAGATATTCCAATAGAAGAGTTAGAAATTGCATGCACACACAAATCGTGCGATAAAAACAAAAACAATGAGCAATATGAACAAATTGGTAACACTTTCCTTGGTATGCTTGCAACTGAGCATGTTCACGTCTCCTACCCACATTTACCACTCAAACCATTAAAAGCAGCAGTCAGTATGCTCGTAGGTCCTAAAACGTGCGCTGGATTGAGCAGAGAGTGGGGTGCACAATCAACCCTCCGTTGGAGCCGTCAGGATGATAGCCAGACATACCTCCACGAAGACGCAATGTCAAGCCTTTCAAAGAGTATAGTTGGTTTAATTCTCAAACATAAGGGTATTAAGAGCGCTTACTATTTCACTCAATCGTTCTTCCTTTCACGTTCAATTGATTTACGCGCTTTACTTAAATTTGACAACCCAGTCACTGTTTTAAGTCACACAGCTAAGAAGTTTGGATACAACAATGTTGATGTTAAGTTATTAAAAGAGACTGGTCGGTATACCCAGTCGCCGGTCTACATAGTCGGCGTCTTCGCTGATGATAATCTCAAATTAGGTGAAGGCTTTGGATCTTCACTCAAAATGGCAAAATATCGCGTACGTGTTTTAGAACTTTGAAATTAAATTATGCTAACAAGCAACCAGGCTGCTAATAACGCCCTTCAACAACTTTACTTGCATTACAGACCATCAGATTCACTTCCGTCAGCTACGCTCTTTGACGAGCCATACAACTCATTGCCATTAGGTAAAAGTGAAGTCCTGTTCAAATCTGCATAAAAATTTTGTTTCCCTATAGATGGTTTTTTCCTTTATAATGAAAATCTATATCAACCTCGTCGTGAGTAGCATCTGAGTGAAGTCTTGGTACGTGATGAATGATTTATTTTCAGAAATCGTCTCCAACATTATTTGTGATTGTTTATCGCTAATCTTCTCACCTAATGATTTAATCACCCGACGAAGATTGCTTATATCCAGCAATGACATCTCATTAACTTCTCTTGGGTTTTCAAAGAAAAGCTTGAAAGTTGCGAGGCTATTTTCCAGTTGTTTCTTCGTCACTCTGGGAGTTTGCTCTTCCTCATTATCTGATTCGTCTACAGCACCTTCACTGATATCATCGTCGTTATCGTCACTCTCGTTAGCGCGGTAGACATCGTCGTCGTCGTTATTTTCGTCGTCACTGTTGTCAGCGTCACGCTGGCTTATGAGCACCGCAATTACGGAAGCGAAATCGGGCCATTGTATTGTTGTACTATCCTTATTAGTTCCCCAACCTTGAGCAGCCTGAGTGAGGATTTCCAACACTTGTTCGTCATTATCATCTAAATTTAGTTGGCGTAGAGCGTAGCGTGATCGTGATAAAGGCATTTCATTGTCGTTAGAGTCATCCTCGTTGATGGTCTCGCCTTCTTCTGGTACAAATCCACCAGATGTGTCTTCCTCAGGTAGAAAGCCACCTTGAGTGTCCTCATCAGGTAGGAAACCACCTCCTGTGTCCTCTTCTGGTAGGAAACCGCCAGCGGAAGTATTATCAGATGTCGTAGGATGATTTTTGGTATTTTTACGTTGGCATTTCTCAAAAACTCTTCTTATTTCTCGCTGCTGGGACGTTCTCAGTCTACTAAAATCATCGTCGAGGTGCTGAGCAGCGCTAACGACAGCAGGCGATGGTGAACGAGAAGCTTCCAAGTGAGTTCGCCTGGTTATAACCTATCAATAGTTAGCTAGATAACCTCCAAGTCTACCGCCCACCATATCTTCTCTTATCGTAAATGACGGTATCAGGGAAAGGGCTGTTAACTAAAAATCTAAAATAAAACCCTTACGTCACTTTAACCCTTACTATCAACAACTGATAATGCAATTATGGCCTTGATACAACCAAAGAAAGAGGATAGAAATGATTGGCAATTAGTTTTGTAGGCTCAAATTGCGTCACATTCAGATTTCACTAACTATACAGATCAAATACACCACATCAAGTAGTTTTATACCACACACCAACGAAATCTTTAAAAGTTTCCCCTATTTCACCTACAAACACTGCCACAGAAGCTGGCATCATTTGTCCAACTTGTCTCCGTCCATTAGACGAAGAAGAGGGCGGAAATACCACAGACTATTTCAGATTGCTAGAGTCTCTCACCATAGAGAACAATAAAGCGCAACCTTTCCATGCAAAACGTAATTCAATTGCTGGTACAACACCAGCTCAGCATTATCATTCAAAGGAGGATGACATCACTTCACGAATAGACGGTTACTATGAGGTGTGTTCCTGATTACCTTTAGCTCTACTTTAACAACTTGGTATTAGAAATTCTTCATCGAGCTGAGACAAATCGGTAGAGGTGCTTTTGCGTCTGTCCACCTTTGTCAGCACTCACTGAATGGTAATCTACTTGGTTTGTACGCTGTGAAGAAAATTGCAGTTGGTTTATCATCCGATTACCTCAAGAAGGCTTTACAAGGTGGGTGTGACACAATGTTATCAACCTAGATAACACCTCAATAGAAGTAAAATTACTCGAAAGTCTAAGACATTCACATATTGTTGACTACCATCATTCATGGGTTGAATTGGCTACTTTAACGACATTCGGTCCGCGAGTCCCGACCTTATATCTTCTTATGTCATTCGCAAATGGTGGCAGTCTGGCAGAGCTGATCAGAGCCAGGCAGGGTCATCATGTAACAGAGGATATGAGATCTTCAGATAATATGACGAAAGAGGAGCTTATCGCTAGTCATAAACGTAGATTAGGTAAACGAATAGAACGAACATATGAAGGACCTTCTAAGCGTATTAATTACTTCCATAATGATGAGTTATTGCTCTTGTTTAGAAACATCTGCGATGGCTTGGAGTTTCTGGTGCGTAGTTTTATATCTTGATTACAATTGTTAAACAGTTACGCGTAGCATAGCAAAGGCATAATGCACCTTGACTTGAGTATGATAGACTAGCACTCACTTATGAAAGCTAATGTATTTAAAAGAACCCGCTAATGTTCTCCTCAATTGGGATGAAACTAATGATACAATGTGAGTCGTGTCGTTGGACAAGTATTACCGCCCCATTTAACATATTTAAGACCACGCGCGATGCTGTCTGACTTTGGTTCATCTTTCGCCGGCGTCGGTAATCCAGAGCGAACCGGACAGACTGGTACAATGGAATATACATCACCTGAAGCACTCTATAAGGATGAGAGGGGGAGATTATTAAAGGAGCGCTCATTTAAGAGTGATATGTGGTCATTAGGTGAGTGTCTATGTTTATTTTAACCATCAATTGACATCAACAGGAATGATCCTATACGAGATGATATTTTTCAGTCTCCCTTGGCAAGATTACGATAACAACTATGAGGAACTGAATGAAGAAATATTAAACTATGCAGGGTGAGTGTTCCATACTTACGTCTTTTATATATTCATTATCATCCTGATAGTTTTGATGAACAAGCGTTGGAGATGGCGAAGAAGCGACGCCCGGATGTTCCTATTAGGATACTCGAATTACTCAGAAAGCTTCTCGACCGAGATGTTAACAACAGACCATTGGCGTCTGAAGTCTTAGAGGAGGTGATGAGTACGGAGCTTATAGTCGAGAAGAAAGACAAGATACCTCTAATAAGAAAACAGAAGATGATGAAGATCGCACTTTTTGGAATAACGCTCTTAAAGGTGAGTATTGTTGGGTTTTTCCATTAGGAAAACTGAAACAGAAGACAGGTGATGCTGTTGCACGATATAAAGTCAATATGGCTGAGGCTATATCTTGGATTAACCATCGTTATTGATTTTGAGTATAGAAAAATATTTTATAGCGCCGTTCTCACTGTAATACTCTTTATCTTGTACTACAATGGTGAGCGATAAGAGGGAAGACACGAGAAATGGCTGACCATTTGTAATAGACCTTAACTAATAAACTTGGGTTGCTATTAATGCTCGCTAGTGTGACAATATTCAGTTATTACACTATCTGGGTGTTTGTAACCGTGAGTTCTGCGTGTATAGAGAGACAGGTATCTGATCAGTCATACAGCCAATATACGAACTCAAGTACTTCCCAGATAGGAAATGGGCTATCAGAATACCAATAGGGCTGTTGCTGATGGGATTGTCGATTGTTGGAATATTTACAAGTTCTGTATTAATAAAAGAAAAGAATAGAAAGAGGGAATAAATCATTTCTTGTTGATAGTCGGTTGTTGCTGTGACGTAGGCATTCCCGGCTGCTGTGGCTGTGGCTGACTGTCGTTGTTCCTGCAAGCGACGATCTTTATCTTGTTAGCGTTCACCAAATCACCCTGATCAACTTTAAACGTTGGATTCTTTACTATAAACGTCCAGACTTCGTCACACAATCTATAAGTGTGGAGATGTCCTCTCATTTGAGTTTTATTCTTCACTTGGTTTGATAGTGCGTTCATCATAGATTTATCGAATTGCGTGAGTACTTTCATAGCCAACTCTGGGTTGATATGTCCAGATGTAATGAGTTCGTCGAGGCTATCAGTAAGCGCTATGCCTACACTAAAGAGACAGTTAGAAGTTGAATAGATATTTACTATAGAACCAACCTCGATCTTCTATAAAGCTCAAAGTAATTTTGGTTGTTATTCATTGACCTTCAGTGTTTAGTAACAACGACGAAGTGCAAAAATGACGGTGAATATTATCATTACAGGTGCTAATAGGTGATTTATTTTTGTTGTTATACTATTCATTCTAATTCAGCTCAGCGGTGTCGGATTCGGTATAGCCTTGAGATTGATAGACCAACTTTATAGAGAAGACAAACCAGAGGATGCAATCGTCAGCTCAGATATACACCAACAGGTTATAGATACTGGTTTAACACTCATTTTAGCTTGTAGATCACCATCAAAAGCTCAGAACGCTATCAATCAATTGAAGGAATACCAGAATAGTAAGGCGATCTGTACCGTTGACCTAGAATTGGTATACGAGCATTGCGACCTTGGTACTGTAGAATCATCAGTCGATTTCGCAACTAGGATAAAGCAGAAATACTCATCGTTATCATCCATCATTTGTAACGCAGGTGCAGGTACATTCACAGGCTTAGATTGGTTGAAAGCCTGTCAACAGATTGTAACGAATCCTATCCAAGCACTCACACTCCCAAATTACAAGTTACAATCAAATGGTACAACATCAGCTGATAGTATCGGTTGGGTATTCCAAACAAACATCTATGGACACTTTATCATAGCCAAGGAACTAGAAAGCTTACTCGAAAAGGAGTCACAATCGTCCATCATTTGGATGTCCAGTTTAGAAGCTGCGAAATGTGATTATGACATAGACAACGATTTCCAATTCATTAAGAGTAACTACTCTTATGAAATCTCTAAATACCTCACTGAAGCTCTAGCTATCGGCTTAGAAGATCACTATCGGGAGCAGAATTCGACAATACATTCGGTTATAGTACACCCAAGTGTCGTATGGTCTAGCATATTCTATGATCATCTTGGCTGGCTGCTCGATTTATTGATGGCTATCTCATTCTACTTCGCTAGACTTCTCGGTTCACCTAACCATCTGATATCTGCATTCTTAGGTGCGATTTCAACAACGACTGTGCTGCTTAACTTGGATAAACACACCGGGAAGGATTTGAGATACGCTTCACAGTGTGATAGATTTGGTAATCCCTATGTTACAGCCCAAGATACCGTAGTACAAACAGTGGAAGAAGATTATAAGGGATATTCTAAAAAAGTTTTGCGAAAGTTCAACGATTTGTATACCAGAATGTAATTTGAACCCTTTATAGCAAACAATCATCATGTCAAGACGTGAGTCAAAATGATGTGATTGTTGGGTCTACTAAGTATTTTAGCACTCAGAGTAGGATATGTACCAGAGTAGGTCATGGATTAAAACTCAAGCAACTCTAATATCCCAAATAGACACTTTCAATCACCGCTTTTACAACTCGCTGGGAAAGACAACGGAAAGTCATTTGTTTTAGTACCTTGCCCTAGTGGAACAGGACAGATAATCAATGCGTTTAAAAATGATGAAATTGACGTCTCTCTCGCCCTCACTGAGTCTTTGTTAGCCGGTATCGCGAAGGGAGCTACAGAGTTTAAATTCGTGGGTACATACATAGAATCACCACTCAATTGGGCAGTGATAACTGGTGCTAATGCACCATATACCTCTATAAAGGATTTGGAAGGTACGACGATTGGTATCAGTAGAAAAGGAAGTGGTAGTGAGGTTATGGCGAATGTTATGGCTTTACAAAAGGAATGGAAGAACCCTCCAAAGTTCCTCATTAATGACAATTTTGCTAAACTTCGCCAGAGTGTTAATGATGGCAGCACTTCTTGCTTCATGTGGGAATGGTTCACTACTTTACCATATGTTAAAACTGGTGAAGTTAAGTTCATCGGTAATCAACTCACACCATGGCCAAGTTGGAGTATAGTTGCTAAACCATCCCTTGATCGCAGTCTTGTTGCTCAATTCGTTGATAATCTCGACCAAGCTGTTAGAGCATTCGATGAGAGCAGAACTTCAGGTGAGGCTGTTGATTACGTCGCTAAGACTTTCAATTATGATAAGCAAGATGTCCAAGAGTGGATCAAGGGTGTTACGTACTCAAAATCACACCTTCGCGTCGTTAAGAAGTCTGTCGTTGAATCTACGTTAGACACACTAGTAGATGCGAAAGTGATTGAAAAGAATGGTGAATGGGATATCAGCCAATTTGTCAATAGGGATATTGCAACTGTTGAATAAAGTGTTTACAAAAAAATGATAAATATTACGTCTATATTATGCACTGCTTCTTTGATTGTAAAATGATATAGTCCTTAACCACGCTGGATGAATTGAAGATACTGTTCTGGCGTAAGTTGCGGTTGTCAACGTGAGCTCATTGTACATGATACAAGGTGCTTTACGCTGTAAGAGACAAGAGGTTGGATGTATCTTGACTAATTGCTGGTTGACAATTTGGCGATATGTTCCATCACCTTGTCTAAGTGCAACATTTTGGAACATACCCTCAAGAACACACTTGAGAATCAATTCTTCATCTGTCGTCGAGAGCTCTACATCCATACCCTCCTTCTTACATTGATGTTCAAGTTGACCGCGTATATCTTTCGCGCGTCTTAACGTACGTTGACTCAACTTGTTTGATTGACACCATTCTTTAACGTCGACAATCGTACCTGCTTTGACGACATCTTGGTAAGCATTCCATATGTTGAGAAGTGCAATGTGGTCACCGTGGCGACTTGCGAAGCGCTCGCGAGTGTTGTCATCTCCTTCATTTGTCGTTGATGTGTAGATTGGCGAGTCAACTGAAAGAAGAGCACATAACGAGAGGATATTGGAAACACAACCACCACTTGATGCACTTAGAAGCATTTTTGCGATTGCTGGATCAAGTGGCATACCAGCTATCCTGCGACCAAGTTCTGTTATGCATCCATCGCAATCTAAGGCTCCCAAACCATATAAACTCATATTAGCTTGTTGGATTGCCTCCGTAGATGGTGTATCTAACCACTCAAATTCTTCATATGTTTTTTCACTAATCGCTTTCAATTGTAGAATAGCGAAATTTAAATTCGTACGCTCAATTTCAGGTGATGTTGTGTTAGATAATCCTAAGAATGTCTTCTCGGTGTATAATCTATAACAGTTACCGGCACTTTCACGACCAGCTCTACCTGCTCTTTGCATAGCTGCTGATTTACTGATCGGTTTAACGAAAAGAGTGTCAATACCTACACCACCATTGGACGTATAGAACTTCCTTTCACGTGCAAGTCCAGTATCAATTACATGCTTGACTCCAGCTATCGTTATAGACGTCTCAGCAACGTTAGTGGAAAGAATCACTTTACGAGTATTTTCTGGTGTTTGTTCAAAAACCTTCTGTTGTTGAGATGGAGAGAGTGAGGCGTAGAGTTGTAATATATTAAGATCGCATTTGAGTGTGTTATTATCCGCATAGAGCTTCAATGAGGCTCCGAGAGTTTGAATCTCCTCCTGACCAGGTAAGAAAACGAGTATATCGCCTGGTAGAGGAGCAGACTGGTGTATTTGTAGGATTGTCTTGAGTGAAGCATCAAGATAATCTTGTAAGTCCTCTGAGCTATTGTAAATTGTTACAGGGTGTTGACGTCCTTTTACATAGAGAACTGGAGCGTTGTTGAAGAAATGAGAAAACTTCTCAGCATCGAGTGTAGCACTCATGATAACCACTTTGAGTGGATCCATAGATGCTGCTTTACGCCTTTCCATAATTGACTTGAGTGTACCAATAATTAAATCCGTCCGAAGTGTTCTCTCATGTGCTTCATCGATCATTACAACACCATATTGAGATAAGAGTGCATCAGAAAGTAGCTCACGCATGAGCATACCATCTGTCAAGTACTTTAATCTAGTACCTTTCCAAGATTTATCGTCAAATCTAACGGAATAACCGACTAAACTACCACATTGGGTGCCAGTTTCTGTAGATACACGTTGAGCAAGACTCATGGCGGCAACACGACGTGGTTGAGTGACACCTATTTTCTGTTTTGTTAGGCCACTTTCGAGTAAAAATTGCGGTAGTTGTGTTGTTTTACCTGAACCTGTTTCACCAAGGACGACAACAACTTCGTGATTGCGTACAGCATCTATGAGACCATCCCTGCCTGTACATTGTTAGATATGCAAGTGCCATTGAAGAGACTCACCAGTCCAAATTGGTAATGCTTGCCTCGTTTCCAACATTTTAGCCCTGAGTGCGAAATCGACATTCTTAGAAGCCTTCCGTCTGGCTTTTTTTGAGTGAGTTTCGTGTGTATCATTTACTGTAGCATCCTCGTCATTGTCGTTCTCTTCTTGATAGTAAACCCTCTTTTGAGTAGTTTTGATAGGACTTTTTGTTGTACTTTTAATAGGAGGTTTATTATTATTTGAATTAACTAGAGTGCCACTCCCACTTGGCTCATCATCGAATTTTATTTTGACCATCCTTCAACGTTTCTCTTAAAATGCGTCTTCTCTTTTCAGAATATGTTTAAAAGAGCGGTAAAGAGACAAAAGAGAGTAGAACTAGAGGATAAGTTGGGTCTTAGAGAAGACTTGAGAGGTGCTGTATCAGATTCAGATGAATCCTCTGATAGTGAGAGTGAGAGTGAGAATGAGCAAATTAGCAACTCAGCCAGCGACGATGAGCAAGGTTGGTGGGACTATTAAACACGTATTATGTTAACCACTAGTACAGAGAATAGCGAACCTAGCGACGAAGAAGGAGAAGAAATCGACGAAGACAACGAAGATGGTGTAGAAGACGATTTAGACGAATCAGATGAGGAATTAGAGGAATTGTCTATCAATGATGCACTGATCAATCCTCTCTTTGGCGAATACCCACGCAAACGCTGTGCTATTTGCCCAGGAAGACTCCTAACATTTGAGAAATTTGGCAGTCAGCATTTAGAGTCAAAGGTGGGTAAATGCCAAATATATTATATATCTCACACTGCTCCAAGGCGCACACAAGACGTTTAAATAGATTCTTCACCTTCGTGGATGAGCAGAAGCTCAACAAAGACGACGATGTTCACTCCACAATTGACGCATTCAATCAGCAACTTGGAACTACACCAAAGGAGAAATCAAAGGTGTGTATATCGTTCTATCTCATACACATCACTGACAGCCACAAGAAAGAAGAAAATCGCATAAAAAGAGCGCGTATAGCAAGACAAAAGCGTTTAGAACGCAAATTAGAAGCAAAGAAGACACTCCCAGTACCATTAGATGAAGTAGAAAAGAAACATGTTGAGAACAACTCCGGAGATGCGCCCGACGCAGCCAAAGAAGCTAAAAGAGCCGAACGTCGCATCCGCAAGAAGGCCAACAAAGCAAAATTTGCAGAAGAACGGCGGCAAACTGAGAAGTCTAAAAAGGACACAACCGATAAAGAAGAGAAGCAGAATAAAAAGCGTAAAGCTTGAGATTGTATTATAGATCACATGCTATGTCATTTTAAGTAACCGGATATTTCGCTTATTATATTCCTTATACAGAAACGACGATGTCTTTGCAAACTCCATTAACTGAATTATTGAATATAAAGCACCCTGTTATGTTAGCAGGTATGAACGTCGCTGCTGGCAGCAAGTGAGTGTTTCTCCTCTTAGATAGCCCTCGCTGACAGTTCACAGGTAAGATAGACCGTTTACTTACACACACTTTCTAACGACTTAATAGGCTAGCAGCTGCCGTTTCAAACGCTGGCGGTATTGGTGTCCTCGGTGGTTAGTTTTCTTCCGGTCGGTATTCCACTACTGACATTCTCCAGGTTTGGGATACACACCAAAGAATCTCCAGCACCAAATTGACGAATTAAAGGCCGGATTAGTTGACAAGAACCTCCCATTCGGAGTTGATTTGCTACTTCCGAAAGTTGGTGAGGGTGCCCGCAAGACAAACTATGATTACACCAAAGGGCAGCTTCCTGAACTCTTAGACGTCATAATTAAGAATGGCGCTAAAGTGTTTGTATGCGCTGTAGGTGTACCACCGAAGTTTGCAGTCGATAAGCTCCATGAAGCCGGTATACCAGGTTCGTAAGATAACGAGCCATTGCTAGGATGCTGACAATCGTTCACAGTTGCAAACATGATCGGACATCCAAAGCATGCACAAAAAGCTATCGATGCCGGTGTTGATATCCTTATCGCACAGGGTGGTGAAGGTGGGAACTATAAGATATTGAAACTTTATCCTAACAGTATATCCCAGGTGGTGGCCACACTGGTGATGTACCAACTAGTGTTCTCATCCCAACTGTCGTTGAAGCCGTACAAGGTGTTAAGAGTCCACTCACAGGCAAGCAGATACAAGTTGTAGCCTCTGGTGGTATTTACAATAGCAAGGGTTTAGCAGCAGCATTATCGTGAGTCCTTCTTAATCCTCCTGATACCTTCTAATCTGATTAGATATGGTGCATCTGGTGTCTGGGTAGGCACCCGTTTCGTCGCATCAGCTGAAGCAGCAGCACCAAAATACCACAAAGATCTCGTATTAAAGAGTACGTGGGATGACAATATCCGCACATTGATTTACACGGGTAGACCACTCCGTGTATACGGACACGACTACGTTAAAGACTGGGAAGAGAACCGTAGAGACGAAATCAAGGAGTTGACATCAAAGGGCTTAGTACCACATGAGGTTGAACTAGAAAAGAGACCAGAAATTTCAGCCAAAACACGTATGTGGCTCATGGGTAAGGTATCTGGTTCTATCGATAAGGTAGAAACAGCGAAGGAGATAGTCGATGAGATGGTTACAGGTGCAGCCAGAATCATACAAGAGAATACCAAGTACCTCTCTAGACAAGCTAAGCTTTGAAGTTATGATTTGTTATTGATGAATATTTTCACGATTTTGTTTGATTTCGAAAGGGGATGAGAAGGATTGTAATGGGTGTAAATAAATAAATTCATTAAATCATATCATAACTTAAATTTAATATTTTACAAATAAATTTCTCCAGATTTACGATCGTATGCTCAGTCAGGTACGTATCACGACTTGAATTCGTTTAGTCATTTCGGCAGAAAGTGGATGCGTTCAATACGTATATGCGTCTTGGGTGCGGGCGCAGTAGGAAAGAGTTCAATAACTGTACGATTCGTACATGGATCGTTTTATGAGAATGTGAGTCCTATGATAGATTGATGGTGTGATTAAGTGAAAATAGTACGACCCAACAGTGAGAGAGATTATTTGAACGCGTGGATTATACTAATTAGACTAATAGATAGAGGATAGCTTCACTAAACTTGCGGAAATTGACGGAAAAACGCATAGATTGCAGATTACAGATACAGCGGGTGTAGAGCAAATGATGACACTCAGGGAGTCAGTTATTAGAGAGAGTCACGCGTTTCTGTTAGTATTCGCATTAGACAATCCTTCAACCTTTAATGATCTGCTACCAATCGTTGAGGATATAAAGAGAATAAAAGATACAGATGGTATTAGACGTATACCAGTATTATTATGTGGGAATAAAGTTGATTTAGGTTTTGAGCGTTAGTTTATTGTTTCTGATCTTATAACGACATCTAAGCCTCATTTAGGCGTATTCCCAAGTAATTTTCAACCTTCTGGAGTATTTAAAGGCGTTAAATACTTAGAAACATCAGCTAAACTCAAAATCGGTATTGAAGAAGCGTTTTTAGATCTCGCTAAGATCTACATGGACCAGCGAAGAGTAAGGAGGGAAAGGCATAAGCAACTACACCGTCATGATAAAAGAGATAAATGTGTATTAATGTAATTTGTAAAATTTATTTGACGCTCAGACGATTCTTGGTATACGACAACGACGACGACAATCTGATGCGATGAGCAGTACGACATTCTTTGTCAAGGCTACGTACAATTATCAGAAACTAGACAGTTCATCCCTTTCGTTCGTCGTTGGTGATGTTATTGAAGTCTTGACGACGTTAGAATCGGGATGGTGGGATGGTCTATTGGGAAATGACCGTGGATGGTTCCCTTCAAACCATGTGAGTTCATTAGCAATTCTATCCATTTTCTCACAATCTACTAGGTCGTTAGAATATCAGACGACGAAGCAGCCTCCATACTCGAGCAAGACATCCTGAGTCCACTACCAGAAGTACAGAATGCCACACCAGATGAGTATTGGATACCGCAAGCTAGTATGGACGGTAACATTTTCTATTTGAACACTCAAACCGGTCAACAGTCGTTGGAAATGCCAACATCTGCTTATTTACCGACATTTAATAGATCACCGTCGGTAGATCATCAAAGTCCTGCTATCACGCCAACCTATCCAATTTACTCGAATACCACGACTACAACGCTCACTAGAGACCAAACAACAGACTTTAACAGCTTAGACGATTTGCTCACTCTAAAGGAGGACGATTTACAGGTCGCTATAGCTTTACGTCCTACCCTTCAAGCATCGTTGGAAGATTTATCAGCTCAGGCCATCGTCGCACTTGAAGCACTTACTAATGCATCATCACTCAGTTGGACTACAGAGGCCTCTGCTATGAGTAGAAGGGACTCAGACATTGAAGCACCATTAGATCAAACTAGTCACAATGATACAAACGACGAAGATCAACTCATACAACATCGTCAGAATGTTCATTTGAAACAATCGCATGAAGTTGAGATTGCGATTGAGACCGTGACAGATAGTATAAGAAGTGTGTTATTCAGTACAGGCATTTTAAATTCAGCTGTGTCAATAAAGTCACTACCATCATCTATGATCTCACTCAGAGCCACTCAGAGGAGGTTAATAGCCGCCTTGTCAAAATGTACTCTCACTTCTGAAGCCATCAAGAGTATTCTCTGCTTTTTGCCTGTTGACGAATCTGGCCAAATTGTCAGGAATGCCTTAGAACAGATGAATGAGGATGTAATTGACCTTCAAAATATCCTTCAAGATTTCATTGAGAGTGCTTTAGATGTCAAAGATGGTCTACCATCCAGACAAATTCTTGCAGTTTTGGGTCCTCGCTCGGAGTCAGCAGAAATTAAACACATTACTAATGTCCGAAGGAGAAGAGAAATGGGTAAACCAACCCTACTTCAACTTGAGCAACTTGGCGGTGACGCCAGAGAAGCTCTTCGGGCAATAAACCAATCTCTTGCATTAATAAGGCAAGATGAGCAAGTCATAGACGGAGATAATGATCCCGAGGAAGCCCAGCCTGATTCAGATTTAGAGGTCGATCCAGACTTGACTAAAGACGAACGCTCAAAGCCTAGCAAACCTAAAGAAGAAAAGAAAGTCGTTAAAACAATCAACAAACTTCCTCCATCACTTTTACCTTCAATTCAATCATGCCTAGTTACGCTTACTAAATTCTGCAACGCAACTGATGAAGTTGACGTCTTACCTATGTTAGACTTTGATGGACTTCCACCACCAACACACCCACCTGATTCACCCATCTTGGGACAAGATGACACACCTCCACTTAGCGCTAATGATTCTCATTATCAAGAGTTAGTACGCAAAGCCCACTCATACTTGCATGAGTTTGAGAAAGCTAAAATAAGTCTGACAACATCTTCTGGTAATGCTTTAGTACAATTACAAGATCTAATTTCAATGAATTTATCTGAAGTTGAAGTTTGTGAAGCTCTGATAGGATGTATTTCAAAAGATATCTTCAAGATTGAGTCATCATCTTCAGATGTACTCGAGAGTTTGTTATCGTTAGTTGAGATTGCTGACACGCAATACCAATTAACATCAAACAATAAAGTATCTGGGCCAACTCAAATTGGTAGACGTGCACTTCAATTATCAAAGTTAGATAGAGCATCGTCAATTAAATCTGCCAAGAGTGCTGGACTCGGACTAAATGAAGCCGTCGCAGATGATGATAGTGACCTTGAGGGAATGGATCCTGGTGCGAATGTAGGAAATGATTATCATCTAAACGTCCAAAATCGTGAAAGATCAGATTCAGCAGCAAGCCCGCATACGCAAACTTTGGTTAATAATCAAATGTTACTCTCACAATCCACAAATACGCAAGTAGTTTCTGTTGAGGAATTGCAAGAGCAACATAGGCTAGCACAAAAGCAGAAAGTCGATAAATTGTTGGGTGAGAACAGTCAAGAGTCTTTGCCAAGTAATATATCATCACTTGGTCGCGACCAAAGGCCATCCCAAAGTTCGACTGGATCTGGCCCTAAAGAACATTTCTTGAGTAGTGATTTCGGTTCTTCTCTCATTATCCAACCAAACGGAAGTGTCAAAGGTGGTACTGTCCCAGCATTAGTTGAAAGATTGACAACACATGAGCATACAGGTGAGTGTAAACTACTAACCAATCTTGATCACAACTAATCCCCTCTAGATCTCAAGTTTAGTAAGACATTTTTGATGACTTACACATCATTCGCAACTGCCGGAGAAGTTTTCGATCTACTGATTCACAGATTCCACTTGCTTGCACCAGAGGGATTAAGTGAATCTGATATTACAATGTGGAGAGAGAAGAAACAGATGGTCGTACAACTTCGCGTTATCAATGTCATGAAATCATGGTTAGAACATCATTTTGATGATACCAGAGACGATTATATTCTCAGCAGAATTAGACAATTCGCTGATTCCGATATACCAATGACAATCGTTGGACCTGTACGGTACTTGAAAAAGATTGTTGAAAGAAGAGAATCAAAAGGTGGTTTAGAACCAAAGAGGATCATAACTGCACAGAACTTCCCTCCACAGCCAATCTTACCTAAGAACTCAAAGAAGTTGAAATTGCTAGATATTGATCCATTAGAAATGGCAAGACAATTGACAATCATTGAAAGTTATACCTTTAATAGAATAAAACCAGATGAATGTTTGAACAAGAATTGGAGCGGCCCTGAGCATCTCAAAACACACAAAGCACACAATATTAGAACTATGATTCAATTATCTAACAGATTGGCTGCTTGGGTTACGCATAGTATTTTAGGTATGAAGGATGATGTCAAAAAGAGAGCTTCAATGATTAAATGGTTCATTTATGTTGCTGAGAGATGTAGATCTCTGAACAATTTCTCAACAATGGCTGGTATCATCGCTGGTATCAACTCACCACCAATTAGAAGATTGAAGAGAACGTGGGATCAAGTGTCACAAAAAGCCCTTAACATACATCAATCCCTCGATACTACCATCGATAGTACGAAGAATTTCGCGAATTATAAGCAACTTTTACGTAACATCAATCCACCTTGCGTACCATTCTTGGGTGAGTTATTACTAGAGTTATTATGTTGACAAACTAATCATTCCAATAGGTGTCTATCTCACTTACTTGACATTCATAACAGATGGAAATCCTGATTTCTTGAAAGATGCAGAGAGAGGCGGTCAACAGTTGACATCACCACCAGGCGGTGGTTCAGGTTCATTGCCCCTTGTTAACTTTGCTAAGAGACAAATGGCCGCGGATCTCATTTCTGAAATACAGCAATATCAAGCAACACCATACAATTTTACGCCAATACCACAGATTTCTAAATTTGTTACACAACAATTAGAAGAATCTGATCACGCACCAGACGCTTTCCCGATTAGTTTACGTATAGAACCTAGAGAAAAAGATGATGAAAAGATGGCGAGAATGTTATCAGAATCTGGTTTCTTTTAATGATCTTACTTCCTTTTTCTCCATTTTTTACGTTTTTACGTTTTTTACGAAAGATTCAGCAAATGCGATATTTAGTTGTCGATTTTCTAGCTATGTTCTTCTTTATACCTACCAGCTATCCTGTTTTAACTCAAGTTTTCGTCAAGTCTTACACTCATCTAACTAATAAAGCTGTCTGTTATAGAATTATATTACTGAAATAAATTAGAAAATAAAACTAGTTATTTTAATGTTCTACACGTTTGAGTTGAATGAGTGGTTTCAATGTTTGCTTCAATTTGAGACAGTTTGATATTGCTATATTGAGTGGATCTATAGATGCACTCTGATCTGGTATAACTGGCAAGCTGCGCACTTCTGCCATCCAAACGTTTTGTGCGTGAACGATTTCGTCATTTGACTGAAAAGTATGTCAGAGAAACAAAGTGGGAAAACTCATACTCACGTTGTAAAGCTGATATACGCTAACTATCGCGTCATTGTATATGTATGCTTCTCCACGTTTTGTAAACTCATGATTATATGCATAGCCTAGTGATTGTATGAAGGGTATACTTGTATCAATATCCTCCAATTCGAAATCGATCGTTGATCGTATGAGTAACTGCGGGTTGTATCTTGTCTAAATTTATTAGTTGTATTGCAGTCTTAGTAGTTCTACTCACTGCAGGCTCAGCTCTGAACATCCTGATAGCATTCCTATACAATTTCAATAGTAATTCTTTACATTATGACAAACTAACCATTTCGCACGCTCATCTAATGCATCCCGTCGCATAACCATTCTTCCATTCGTCGTATTGGGGCCAGCTGATACGCTGAAGACGATTTCATGGGATTTTAAATCATAATTCTTATCGCAATTTACTCTGAGTTTGTTTTTAACTTTATCCAATAGCCCTACGTCGAATGTGCCTAGGAGGATGCATTCGTAGGTGATCGACATCTATAAAGAAGGAATAGAATGAAATACATGAATAATTATATTCGGTATACGATTTTATAAAGCAAGCGAACCAGCAATTGCTAATAATGAGGCTATAACAGCGAACGAAGGAATTGCTTGAAGTGAGCTAGAATCATCATCATCTGAGTCGCCGCTATTTTGATTTGCAGATTGTGATGGAGATGGACTAGTGTTTGAATCTGTTGTTTGTGTATTCGTGGTGACACTTGTACCAGCAGGTGTAGACGTTGTCATTGTCTTTACTTCGTCGCAGACTGATCCCATTTCTTGGTCGATATCCTCGCCTAATGATTGTCTGTTCATATTATAGAATATATCAAGAAATTATACTCACCTGCACTCGATAAGCAACTCTTACAGTCACTTGATGCGCTACTCATAGCATCACAGATACATGAGTAGTATGAAATCGCTTGTTGATTTCCAAGGTCGGTGTCACTGTCTACACCTCCAATAATTGGAAGGCAGTCTTGGTTAATCTTGCTATTAAGACTTTGGCATTGATTTTGCAAGCATTCCTGGGCTGCATCATCATTGAATTCAGCCTCTCTAACGAAAAGATTTGGGTTGGCTGTTACTACTGCAGCGGTAGCTGCTATCAAAAGAGCACTGTATTTCATTTGTTACCGTGATGATATGAACAAAATGTCCGCGCGATTGCCATAATTTTTATACGCTCTGTCAAGGTACCATCAGGTACACATCGTACGTCCGCAAGGAGTATGTGCTAGAATCGATGAATCGATCATAGATTCGTTACCTGCAAGTGTCAACACCGTTATTTCCACTTAGAGAGATGTCGATGATCTTAAACATAATATTAGACAAAGAGAAGTGTTATAACCTTTACAACTAATTAATCTTTTTACAAATACCAGTCATCCTTATAATAGTTAAAGTATCTGATACATTATTACTTTTGCCTTATGATGCTTTTTGACTTGAAAACTCGCCTATTGTTTCAATAAAAGAATGAAACTTTTATGCTTTTATACACTCTTAGAACTTATTCATAAGCTAAAAGATCGTAATTGCTATTTTCCGTACCCCAAAAATTCCGAATTTAATTATCCCATTGTAAAATATGCCATTTATTTGAAATCATAGATCAATCATGTTCACACTAAATGAATCTGATCTAATTTCCAGAAGACCTTCAGCATTCGGAAAGACTGCTTCCGAGAATTAAAGTGACCTGAGTCATGGAATTTTTTTTTGAAGTTCCTTAATAGGATGTCACAGATAAGGGTTTTCAATGGCCAATTGTATTCCGAACTTTATAAAAAAATTGGTTATAAAGATGAATGGTTGTATTGCTGTTAATAAGACAACTTGTGTCAACATTTTTAGCATTTTGAAGTGGCCTGTCAGTAGGTTTATAATCGGTTTACTGCTACCATTTTAGTGCTATTCTCACCTGGAATTGGTGAGCTATGGTCTATTTCATTAGAGTGAGTATTTTTGTTATCTTTAATATTTCCACTAGCCGTAATAGAGTATTGTTGTTGACTATCACCTCATCATCACCTCTTTAATACAAGATAAGACATAAATGTAAGTACAAGATAAGGAAGACCTACTTCCTCAAGCTATTGACTCCCTCTTTAGTTTTGTAACTTGCCTGAGTCATCATGTGTGTTTAATGATGCCGTGTCTGGCTTGAGGAGTTTGTACAATGCGTGTAGTTTCGACAAATGATACGTCAATGTCATCTTTTCAAAAATATCACCACTGAATGAAAGCTATTAGGCTTGTTAGATGATATATATAATTGTCTAACGATACCTACCATTTCGATAATGTCGTCTAGCAGATGCGCTTGACCGACATTCAGTCCAGGGAAAGAGGTATAATTGACAGAGACGACGTGTACGTGGAAGACGTCTACCGAAATTTTAGTTGAATTTAAGGTTAAAGAACTACCTTACAATATGTTGGTTGATAATGGACAGCTAATTTTACCTGACTTAAATCCAAATCCCAGTTCATTTTCAACACATTTCCAACTTCCTCGCGCATACTCTTAAGTAAGAGAATATGGCTGGATCGCAGATCACGGAGACATTTCAGTGATAGGTCCTTTACTACTACTTGAAGATATAAAGTGTTAAGATCTTGTTTGTCCCATTTGTAGTCAGCTGCGATGACAAATGAGTTACCTTTATAGTAATATGTTTCATTTTCGGCTTCTCCAGAAACGAGAGATGATATCCTTGTTTGTTTCATCAATAAGGGTGATTTTGTGATACTTCAACTCACCACTTGGTCTCTTTCAAAGGTAAACCATCAATGTATGGTTTAACGATAGTATTGAAAACCTCTGGGGTCTCTCTGAACAATGATACTTCTGATTTACTATGCTGATATCATGTTAGCTAGATAGCTACACTAATAACTGTATCAACACCTTATCGAGATGCTTCTGTGTAGCTGGATATATCACTGTAACTTTCTGATCGTTTGGTGTAGGCGTGCTCGAACTAGTTAAGACATGATAAATGTCATTCTGTTGAATCATAACATGATTATCGATTAAGTGATCGAATTGATTAAAATTACTTTCATGAAACGCCGACTTTTCGAAGATAATAACTGCTAACTCATTCTTAGATGACAGTCCAGAAATCGCAGCCTTCTTTATCAGTGGGTCTGATAGTTTTAGAGAAAAGAATAAAGCGTTGTAGAATACACACCATTATTAATAACCTTAATATCCTTAAGACCTCTGAAAAGTTCTTTTATCGTATCCTTATCTGCCATCATCGTAATGAAACAAGAAGACAAAAAAATCGAGAATAAATAAACCAATGCATATTTTTACAATTACTCATCATCATCTAATAGACAATCCTTTATTTCTTCACGCATAGATTCTTCTGTTAGCTTCTGAGACTCGGCGTATTCGTTTGTCCATCCCGGCAGAGCGTAGTTGACTTCTGAGCGAGCACGTGAATCTGTGAGATTGGTATAACATCCATAACATAAAATGTCAGCAAGTGAAGGCTGATCTGACTCGGTAGATTCTACTTTATCATCAAGTTTCGTTATTGCGATACCATTCTTCCAGTCATTAGCTTTTGCGCGTGCAGGCCAACCACATAATGTACACAACCTTTCGCCTTCTTTTGCTTCACCTGCAAAAGAAATTTTGTTACCAGTTTTAGCAACAGTCGATACAGTCGATGGGAAGCCTCTTTCTAGTGATACGACGAGCTCCTCGGTCAATCTGTCGATTGATGATTTAGGTGGTGCAAAAGTTGAGAACGTCCTGTTGACTACCGGTTTTGAGTCGTCTGGAACGACGTATTTGTTGAAGTATGCAATTTCCTTTGATGAGGTGTTAAGCAGAGGTTGATAGATCCTCATTCCAAATTGTGAAGACTCTGGCTGAACCTCACCAGAACCCAATGACCAACCGCGACCTCTACTCATCGAGGATAGCAATTTAATAGTTACGCGTGTCGCACTTGTTGCTAAGAAGAGAGGAAGTTCTTTATCTTTACCAACTAAACCGTCTGCGTGTTTTCTAGCTTCCCTGAGGATTAAGTGGTGTGTGAGTAACGACAGATGGGATTCTAGAGATGATGTCGCGAGTGTGCTGTCGAACAAATCAGCGGTTGAGGATGAAGTCGTACCGCTTGGTGGCTGACCAGGTAAACCGGATAGCTGGGCAGAGATAGATGACTGGCTGTCTTTCCATGCACTGTCTACATCCACTTCAATAATTTCAGCATTCGGATAGCCTTTAATCATGTTTTCAATGTCTTTGCGCAAATTTTGAGCACCCGGGACGACATTAGCGTGGTTGACGTAGATAACAACCAACTTCTCAGCTGCACCAGGTCTAATAAAATTTCCTTTACCCTTCCTGGGCGTTAATTGGGTTTGCAGTACATGGAGAAGGTAACGGCTGGATGGGCCACCGGAGACACCAATGTAGAATGCAGGGTAAATATCAGTAGTCTTGAACGTCGCTAAGAACCACTTGAGGAATTTACCGGAAGTAGTGAAAATGAAGCAGTTTCTAAGAATTGTGAGTGTCTTCTAAAGTGTGAATAAGAGACTAACCTGCAATATAAGGCATGCCTGACTTGTATGACGGGTGCTTCAGTCTTGCACTTCAAACAAATCTTGTTCTTAGGCTTCGTACGACCTGATAAGGTTGTTATTCGGGGCTATGAAAGGCTATAGAGAGAACTCACGTTCAGGAGTTTCAGCGCCTGGATCTTTAACATCAGATTGTGGGTTGCCACAACTCATACTAAAATAGTACTAATTCGTTCCTCAAGTGGTACAAAACTGAGAGCAAAGACGAGGAGAACTGCAGGGGTAGAAAATTAAGGGACTCTTAGCGGACTGCAACAAAAAAGCGCGTTTTATTTGTTTATAAGACAAAAATTATTATTTATATCCGACTTCATTAGTTCCTTCCATCACGTCTACGCAGCAGCAGCTGAGCATCCAGGGTAGAGCCTTGACTGACTTCATCCAAGAAGTGTATTATCAAAATTAATCTAAACGACGATTCTTTATCCACTAGATCTTCGACTGTACCACTGACTAGAATGCCAGATACTACGAGGCGGGCTCCCAAGCCGACACATTTGAAATATGGCTGGATTATGTATTCACCCTTGATAGCGGCGGGCGTATGGACTGCTAATTTAATCGGTTTATTGGTTTTATGGGCTACAAATGACTATTATCGTATTATCGCCGGTGTAAGTTTGGGCGGCGACCGCACGCGACAATAATTTTTAACAACTTCAATAGAGAGGTTTAGTAGTGTACATTTCTGACCTCGGCGCGACATGGAAGACTTTTTTTATCGTTATGAACTGCTGCACTGTCGGTTTCTATCTCCCAGCGTGAGTGTCATAGCATTATCAATACCCTGAATACTAAGAATGCCTAGAATTTTTGCACAGCGATGGTTGAGAGCTGTTGATCGTATTCCTGAAGCCCTCAGACGAAGAGAAACTGTATTCGGTTGGCTCACTATCGTTTTTGGTATAATCGGTTCAGCGGGTTTGATAACTCTCGGTATCATGGACGACGTCAACCATGGTACAGTCCATTGGTCCATGACAGTTGTATTTGTCGTCGGTATCGCCATATCGGCCGTCGCTCAGACCTGCGAAGTTTCATGTCTAGCCACTGATCACCCAGACCGCGCTCACTTGAGAAGAAACGGCATATTAAAGCTCATAATCGTTGGTCTTGCGGTAGCCTGCGCTATCACATTCGGTGGTTTGCAAGGCAGTTGTCAAGGTGACATCGATCCTGCCGATCATCCAGATAGGGACTGCTATAATATCACATCGGCAGCTGCGTCATTCGAATGGGCTACAGCTTTCTTGGTTGTTTTCTATTTCTTGACATTATCACTCGATTTGTGGCCAGCCGCGAAAACTTCACCTCGTTTCCTCCGTAAAATGGCAAAATGGGAAGAAGATCATCTCAGCAAAGCTGAATCACATCTGATAGCAGACTTGCATGAACCATCTAATCAACCAACTGGTAACTACTTCTCTGACAGATCAGATTACGATCATGCATATGATACGGAGAATGCGTATCCGATGCGTCAACATTCACCTCCTTCTATGGAGCAGCCAAACCACCCATACGCTGGGTACACATGAGCTCTCGGATAAATAGTCACTCATTTTATAGTAAAAAAATATTTCCTTGTTTATCATAAAGAATGCATACTCTTAATTTTATTTACATGTTATCATTCTACTATGAGGTTTAAAATAAAAGACGTATGTTAAATAATAAAATGGCTATATTATTCTAATCATTATACGCACAGACACTCAAAACTGGCTGGTTCATAGCTCAAGCCGCTTTTGAACCCGTAAGTTCAGATATGACGTATATAATTGGCAAGTTGATCCCTTTAATAGTACATCGTGGCCTCAGGTGCATTCTTTATACCACTAGCACTCGAGCAGCTCGCTAAGGATAACGCTGCGAGTGACGGACGTATAGCATTCCTCGGATGGAGAGTGGAAAGTGCGAGTTACAGGTGAGTTGAGAAGTTTATATCATCTTTCATTACTTAATAGCACTCCAGTTTATACATCGGTAGTTTGAGCGTCTTCATCCAAGCTCTAGCTGTCATTTCCCTGGGTACCGCTGCAGATAATGGTGCGTTTTGTGCTCACATTCGATCAAGCTGAATATCACATTAGTGACGCACAGACTACACCTTCTTACAACAGCAGCAATAGTTGGTTCCCTGGCCTGCATCTCTTTCTACCCACTCACTGGTTTATTCTGGCCAATAGCATCAGTAATCGCCATCTTAACACAGACATCCTACGGAATTGGTGGCGTTTGTCTAAACTCATACCTTCCTTATCTTGCCAAAAGGACAGTCAAAAGATTAAAATATGGTTTAGATAACGATTACGCCCCAATTTTTACTGATGAACCAGAGGAAGGCGATGACGTTGATGATAACGCTTCATTCTCACATTCGGAAACATCTTCGTCTTCTGGTGACGCCTCTGATGAAGTAGTTGATGAGAAGTTCAGTGTACAAACACAAACTGCAAGATTGTCCGCCTATGGTCAAGCACTTGGTTATGCATCCGGTATAGCCCTACTCATAGTCTTACTTATACCACTTAATATTCTTTCAAAATCACCACATCCGCCAGATAATCCGGTCCCACCTCCAATTTTCGCGAGGAAGATATTCACAAAGAGAAGTCCTATTGTCGCTATACGCGCTTGTATCACCTTTACAGGTGTTTTATGGGCTCTGTTGGCTATCCCTGCCATCACACTCATACGGAAAGATACGCCAACGAAGCAGGAGAACGAGAATCAGTTATCATATTCTCAAGCAATTAAGGAAGCTTGGAAGAGATTATATCATACTTTCCAAGTTCGTGAGATTAAGCAATTGCAATCTACCTATTGGTTCCTTTTAGCATGGGCACTGCTTTCAGACGGTATGGTTTCTTCTCTTTCGTGAGTACTTCTGACGAATTGTAGGATTCGCTACTATAACATCGACTGCTATTCTTTTCGCTAAAACACAACTTCACATGGATAGTCAGCAATTGTTAGCAATAACAGTACTTTCACCGCTCGCTGGCGCATTAGGGTCAATGAGTTCTCCATACATACAAAAGCAACTCAAATGGTCAAATCATCGCTCTCTGGTCGCTATAGTCTTGGCTGGTCTCTTTGTTCCATTTTATGGCTTATTAGGCTTCTTGCCGTTTTTCAAAAATATCGGGTTCGGAGGTTTCACAACGCCTGAAGAAATGTTCGGATTTGCAATATACTTTGGTGCAATATATGGTGCTTTCCAATCATACGCTAGGACTGTGTTTAGTGGTCTAATTCCACCCGGTCAAGAAGCACATTGGTTTAGCATTTATGCAATTTCTTCAAAATCTACTTCATTTATCGGTAGTTTACTAGTTGGTCTTTTAGCTGATAAATCTAGCAATATTCGTTCTGGTTTCTTGGCCATTGCTGTACTTTTCCTAATACCTCTACCAGTTCTCATTTCGAAAATACGTCCTGCACAAGGATACGTTGACGCAAGGATTTACGCACAAGCTAGATCATGAAGACTACACAAATTTACGTCTTTTTTATGACATTTTAACGATTGTATTTACTTGTTTCATGTTGTTCATTATACGGGTAACTAGAGCATTTTCATACATTTACAAAAAAAAATTATAGATATTTCTTTTAAAATTCAGAACTAGAAAACTTGGAACAAATTTATTATATAGAAGAAAAAGGAAGCAAAAACAATTATGCAAAAAAGAAAAGCAAAAGATTGGAGCAGCCCGGAATTGAACCGGGATCGGAAAGAAACAACAAGTCACTTCGCTCTGAAGGAAAGAACTATGCAAGCCTTCAATGATAACCATTACACTACTGCCCCGCTTGATCAATCCGATCTTAGCTATCACCCATATCCATCAATCTTCAAACACCTTAATATCCTCAATTTCGTCTCTCAATAATAATACAGCTTCCCGAAAACCCTTCCCTCAAATATCCCACTCAGCAAGTACAAAACCGAAAACATATGACGTGATGACTGACAACCGCGAAAACGGCTAGTTCTCCACGCAACAACCTAGAGCGACAAAACGCCTTGCTATATAGCTACCCACAAGTCATTCCCCGCTATAAACCTATACCACTATCCCCTTCAAACTAACTG